GATAGGAATTCCAGTTGGGTCCCGTTTACTCTGTTGGTTTAATTTCTGAGAATTCATCATTCACTTTGAAGGTCAAGTTTCTTATGTGCTTATAAGAAATTCACAGAGTTTAAAATGAAGACCAAATTCATCATTCATTAGAATTTGTCAAATTCTGATGAATGATGAATTCGGTCTTCATTTTAAACTCTGTGAATTTCTTATAAGCACATAAGAAACTTGACCTTCAAAGTGAACGATGAATTCATCAATTCGCCAGAATGCCCCCCTAAATGAATAGAGTAAATCTAGACCTGGGTGGAATTCTTTCTGCCCCAAGTTGTCAAACGCAAACTAATAGTTGTCATTAGTGCATGATAGCATCTGTAATTCATGCCTCCAACTCTGCATTTTTACCCCATTATCTTCATCATCAACAACCTCTCCTAACTTCCATAACATATTTAATAAATACTTCTTTCTGTGATTGCAAAGCTCGAGAAAACTGTGACGCACACATCATTTTTTTTCGTTGTTTGCAGAAGGAACCATATGGGTTGAGTGAAAGGACCTGTTGGCGAGGCCTGTGCTCTCATGTCTGTCCAGACAGAGAGTCAGTCAAACAGCGATGGGTCTACATGACCTGCAAATGGCAGATCTAATAACATTTAATTAAATTCAATTCGGGAACGGCCTTGGAACAGGTTTTTCTCATAACTAAGCACATCGCTCTCGATAAACCGGCCCGGCTTGTCAACTCGAGCTCAAGCCCCCCAACCCCCCCCACCCCATTGGTTGATGGGGAGTAATAAGAAGCACTAGGAGAGACCACACAAGGTGTAACCAGGAGATGGGGTCGCAGATCCAATCAGATTTTTTTTTTGCTGCTGCTCCCCCTTCGAAAGTTATTTGAAAGCACAGTTGGAGCCACATCACACTGACAGTTCCAGCCATTTTCAATAAGAAATACTAGGGGTCAATTTTGCTGTATTTCCTAGCAAGATTTCCTTCTCCTTCTCTGATTTTTCCTCCCCCACCGTAGAAAAAACTGGCTGGTCTGCAATCAGGTTCTCTCCCGATGACTCAACCCACACCTGGAACATGCCAATGACGCATGACCCAACTTTGGGGTTAATGAGCCCATAGCAGCACTAAACAGGGAATTATAATAATAATGTATTTGATATAGCACCTTATAACGTTATTGAGATATCTCAAAACGCTTCACAGAATATACTGTAAAGTCAATTGACTGTGTATCTTGTGGCGAAAAAACATGGCAGCCAATTGCACCCAGCAGTGTCCCCCAAGCAGTTGTGAATTGAGTACCAATTTTCTTTTTTTTAGGGATTATTACACCCAGAAAGCAATCTGCCAATCGACTAACGACTGGGTTCCTACTTACTGATAGGTAAACAGAAGCATGAGGACTAAGGAAACTTGCCTAACGTTTCTTCCTGTCTGAGAATGAAACCCAGGTCCTCTTGCTTGCGAGGTGAGTACTCTAGCCACTATGCTACAGGGCTCCACTTAAAGCCTTGATAAAGATTGGAAGAAAAAATATGAAAGGGCATGAGGATAGAGCAGGGGAATAGGATTAGAATAGGTAGCTCCAGTAGGGAAGTTTGCACTAACACCGGTTTAATAGACCAAACGGCCTTCCTTTGTGTTGGGAACATTTTAGGAATGCACAATGGTTGAGAGAATCAGGGCTTTAACATGCTGCACTAATCACTCTGTATTTCTCTTGTGGGGATACATCCAGGGTCATAGCAATTCCAGCTATCAAAAGGGTACAGCAAATTGGCATTATATTTAGATGCAAGTCAACAAAAGCCTAGATCGTATCTGTAAATCATTGGCATGGCAATGTCCAAACAGAAGATTGCCTGGTAACTGTTAACTCCTGGTTTGGCCACAAAATCTCTCGGATAAATTGATCATCCATTTCATTGAAGTTAGCGGGACATTGCTGTAATCTAATTGCCTGCTGCATTCGCCTACAAATATGCAGTCACTCCACTTGGCAGCAATCACAGGCTAAGCATTTGCAGAGTGAAGGACATTATAGGTGCTCTGCATCGAACGTTAATAAAGATTGTAACTCTTCATTAAAATTCTCTTGCTCTTAGGCACGCTCCCCCTCTCGGCAGCACGCAATCTCTCATGAAATCGTTTTGCTGAATTCCAACATGTGCTCTGATTGTTATCAGCCTCAGAGAACTGGAAGCCCAGCCCGCCACAGATGCCTGAGCAGTGAGCTGCACACTACCAAGTGTGTGCACAATGCAACCCTGTCTTATTCCTTTGGAAACCACATCACTCCAATGCAACTCAATTCACGGGTGCCTGCAATAACGGCCAATCCCACACAACGCAACTTGAGATACCAGAGAGGTGGGTATATTTGAAGACACTATTGGGAAGAAATTTCCACCTGGTTCCAGATTCACTCTATTTAAGTAGCATTTTTCAGAGAGTCCAGAATTTGTCAAATGTCACACATGAAATCTCATGAAATCGTTCTGCTGAATTCCAACATGATAATTTTTTATTATCAAGTCATGATAATTTTTTATTTGCTGGATTGTCAGCAAGTTCACCGGGAGAATCTCCCTTATCTTTTTGAATAGTGCCACGGGTTCTTCAACGTCCACCTGAACAGTTTAATGTCTCATCTGAAGGACGGTACCTCCGACAAAGCAGCATATCCCAAGCACTGCATTAGAACATCAGCCTGGACTATAATAATAAAAATACTTGCATTTGATATAGCGCCTTATCGAGATGTCTCAAAACGCTTTACAGACTATAGAATTGACTGTATATTTTGTGTGCGGAACGCGGCAGCCATTTGTGCACAGCAGTGTCCCACAAACAGTCGTGGATTGAGTGACCACATGTTTTTTTTAACATTTATTTTTTGAAGGGATTATTACCCCTGGAAAAGCAATCCACCAATCGATTAACATGCGGGTTCTTACTTACTGCTAGATAAACAGAGGTGTGTGGAGTAAGGAAAACTTGCCCAACGTTTTGCCCTGCCGGGAATCAAATCCAGGTCCTTCGCTTGCGAGGCGAGTGCTCTAACCACTGAACTACAGGACTCCACCTATTACAGGGTGGACTAGGCTCAAAGGGCCCACATGGGATGTGAACCTTTTGACTCAAAGGCAACAGTACTACCAATTGAGCAAGGCTGAGCTAGGTGCTTGATTTTAATGGAGATTTAGCCAGTTGTTAAAGGGCTTGTCATGGAGTTTCTGATCACTGCAAATTCATTCATTTGGGGAATCCAGGGTAAAATATTCATTAAGCTTTTCTGCTGCACAGTTTCTTACATACGTCGGACTGTAATGCAGAAGGCTATTTTTCCCAGAATGTAAAATGTTACTTTCACTGCGTGTGCAGAGCTTCTTTGCACAAGTTTGCATAAAGGGTGGTGCATAGCCTGGTGAAACCTGCAACACGCTCTGTCATACTAGTAACACACACCCAACAGGTACATTATCCTGTCTGTAACATGATCTGGGCATTCCACGTGCTATTCTATAATCACTCTAATCTTTATTTATCCACAAAACACACAGTCAATCCACTTTACAGTATATTCTTTGAAGCGCTTTGAGATGTCTCAACGACGGGATAAGGTGCTGTATCAAATGTAAGGATTATTGCTATTTATTACGATGAGTCTCTGTTATCTCCATTGAATTGCATTGAAGTGGTTAACATTCACCAAAACAAGATGAATCAATGAAGCAACATTCATAAGACATGACGAATGTTATCTCTCTGGACATGTACAAAGTTAACAGAGTGCGGCAGGAAGCTGCGCACACACTTTTCAAAGCTATAAGCTGGAAGGTCGTGGGAGGGATCACTATAATGATCAAATAGTTGAAGGCTGCTGCCAAAGCTCTAAGATCCAGGCCCTGTGTAGTGAGGGTTCAGTCAGCTGAGCACAATTCAGTCTGAGATCGGAACACACAGCCAGCTTGTTTTCCTTTCCTTCCAACCTCTCGAAGCAAAATGGGCAATCATTCCCCCGAACCCCCACCCCCCCACACCCCCCCCCCCCAAAAAGAAAAATCATCAATGAATCAGAACCGAAGACATGGCAAATATTACTTCCCTCGTGTGAACGCATTCAGTGTTTCAAGAGTACAAAATGCCACTGAGAGCAACAAAGAAATCCAGACCACTGGATCCCAAGAGATCAGAGGAGAGGTTCAGATAAAGAAGTCTCTTTGGCTCATTTGATCTCATCCTTCTCTGAATACCCACTTCGCCTCGAGACTCTGAAACTCTGCCTGAATCCCTTTGTCTCTCCCCCTCCTTATCTGTCTTCAGATCATACCTGAAGACTTTCCTCTTCGACCGTGCCTACTGCCACATCCCTTCTTTCCCTGGCTTGGGGTCAAATTCCGTCACAGTTTAGCGCTCTGTGATGCTACGGTACGTGAAGGGTGCTAATATAAATGCAAGTTGTTGTTGTATCCACTCTACCGTTCTTGCATTATCACAGCTAACTGTTGCCAGAAACAGGAGACGCTTCCTACGTGAATCTGAAAGCATTACACATTGTAAACAGCAGACACCGTGGATTGATTTCAAGACTTTAATCTAATCTCTGGTTTGAGATAAAGTGTCTAAACTTCTTGAGCAGACACTTGTACTTTATACACCATCTGAGTCCCTCGATCAGATTACAACCTTGTAATCACTCCCATATACGCCTGGTTCTCTCTAATCTACCCAAACCTTTCAATCAGATTGTTGCATCCAAGTGACTCCCACATAATGCCTAATTCTGTCTATAATCCATTTGAACCACTGGGTGAGTAAATCACTGCCAAACCTCACTTATTCTCTGTACGATTTAAACATTAAGAACAGATGAAAGCATGAAACAAAGCAAGGCAGCTTGGTACCTCAATCATTTCTCTACTGGAAATGGAAGAATTTGGGAAGGAATTTCAATCCTTCAAAAATGTTCCTCCTACCATGAGTCTCCAACTCACAAATCTTTTTCTCTCTGAACCCACTCCAACTTTCAATGTCTCTTGGACGGTAGGGTGACCAAAACAGCACATACTACTCAAAATGTGGTCTCACCGATGACACACAGTCAAATGTCTTCAAGATGCAACCCAGCACTTAATCAGCTTTGGACTATAAAGCTTCAGGAAATGGTCAATAATAGCCAATAATAGTCACTGAACCCAGGGCCCAGGTAATTTGGTGGAGTGCTATCTGCCCTGTGTGTGTACCCCCACACACGCAAACCCACACACGTCACTGCCCTCAGGAGAGCAAGAGCAAGGGAGAAAAATGGTTCCACAGATTTGAGCTCCCGAAATCAGGCGGTCCCGTTATATTTCCGTGCATTTTTTTCTTTTGTACCTTGACTTTGCTGTTGTCATTCCTTTCTCCACCAACCCCCTCCTGTTGTCTGGGTTCCGCTCTTCCTGTCGGAAATCACAAACTCCAGGTCAGCACCAACGCCAAGGATGAACCACGGCACTCACACACACACACACACTCATACACATCGCAGACTCATTTAGCAAAACACTTCAGCAGCCTGGGCAGAGGAGCAATTTCAAAGCATGACGCACAAGGCAGAGGTGTGTGCGGGGGGGAATGGGCCCACACACTGTATGACAACATCTGACTACTGAACCACCATGTTTTTATCATCTGCACCCCTCTGTTCCCATTACTCAGGGCAACAATAACCAAGCAACCAGCTCCGCACACGGCCAATCAAAGGGATGCTAATTAATTACATCCAACAAGAGATTCTTCCTTTCTCTTTTCTCTTCCTTCATTCTCTTTCTATTGTTTCTCTCTCTTTCTCTCTCTCTCTTATTTCTTTCCCTCTCTCATTCTCTATCATTTTTACGGGATCGACATCTTTATTTCTTTTTCTCCCATTCTCAGTGCAACTTTACAAGACTGGTATCTTTCTTTTTTTCTTTCTCTCTCTTTCTCACTCTGTCCAATTCTTAATCCACCTTTTTTCTCTTGTTTCAGCTCTATTTGATTTTCGTGCAGGGCTGATAGTATTCCAGGTCCCTTATTTCTCCTCTCTATCTGTCCATTTCTCAACTTTATACAGGACTGACAGGCATAGGAGCACAAAATAATCAGTCAATGGCCTTAAAGCCGTATCCCTCCCATTGATGTGAACTGCATCATTTCAATTTACGTTCTTAATTAAGCATGCTATAAAATAACTAAGATGCATAAGTGTTAGCCTGGCTCAGTTGGTACCATCTCGACTCTGAGTCAGAAGATCTTAGGTTTAAGTGAACTCACGAGAGCAAAGAGTTAAGATGGACCTTTGGTTTCTTGCACTTCCTTAGCTCCTTCTAAAATTGTGCCTGCATTCTTTAATCCTCTATAGTCATTGCCCTCTTCAGAGCAGAAATTTTTGATTCGATAGCAGAGCCTGACGAGATCAAAATCAGAACTTTTTTTTCTCATGAAACCAATTATTTTTAGAAATGGTTCTTTATCCTCAAGTGGTACAAAAAGGATGTGGTTAGTGAATCCAATGGCCGAGTGAATAGGTCATGGTTTTCGTCTTATATCTTGGATCTCCAAATATTTACAGTAGATGCTACCTCCCCCACCCCCTTCCTCCACACAAATAGAAACACTGAATATTTCACAATGATCCAGAGGAACAGAGAATGATTCATCTTACAATGGGGTTCCTTCCAGCAACAGCTGGGGCCAACGGCTGCCACATTTGGGGGTGGTGGGATGGGGAGGATTTGTTGCTGTTTTGCTCACCGTCCGTTATGTTACCTTCTGATTGCTGGCTGCTGGTCGCTAGCGGTGGGTCCCGCTTGTGCGTGGTTGAGGGCTCCTCCCGGAGGGTTTCGACCGACTTCGCCGTGGAGCCCTGGGTGCCGACCACCAAGGACGGACCACTTCCCACAGACTGCGATGTTGGGCCAAGAGAAGAAGATCATTTAGAGCTCATAGCACGAACCTGTCTACACACAGCATAAAAAACGAGAAAGATGAAAACATGCGGTCATTCGTTGTCACCAACTTGGCTCAGTCGGTAGCGCCCTGGCCTTTGAGTTAGAAGGTTGTGGGTTCAAGCCCCACAACTCACCATCCAGGCGGACACTCCAATGCAATGTTGAAGGTGCTGGATGCACTGTCCTTCAGATGAGACAGTAAACTGTGGTCCCCTCTGCCTGTTCAGGTGAAGGTTAAAGATCCCTTGCCTCCTGAGAAAAGAGTTTCTCCTCCACGTCCTGGTCGACAATCCTCAATATATTCATTCACTCAACGGCTGTTTGTGCGACATTGCTGCACTCGATTTGACGAGTTTCAATGTATTTCAACATCTAAATCTTTCAACACAACAGCACGGCACAGCTTAGAGGATAACCAATGCCCAAAATCATAATTTTGAGCAGTAAAACTAAGCAACGGTATTAGTTACAACGATCACTTTGCCTTCGTTGCTAAGTTACCAGCACTCCAAAATGACAATTGACATTTTTTGAGGTTTCAAATGATGATATTATCAAACCAACATCTTTCTGCAAACATTTGTACATTTCTGGTACATGAGGGTGCAGCGGAGATGACTGTAGTGAAGGAGAGATTATCTGGTGATGCTTTGACCCAACTTGCTTGGAAGAGCCGAGGACAGCCATTAAGATTAATAATAATAATAATACTCCTTGCATTTGACATAGCAACTTTCACGTCAGGAAAACGTCTCAAAGCCCAAGATGAACTTGCACATAGATCTTGCATATCCTTCACGCAGGATGATAGTGCACCCTGGAATGTCTTTCCGCCATGAAGGGCGCTATACAAGTGTAATTTGTTGCGTCTCGGAGTGCCGCACTGTTGTGAGATTGGACACCAAGCAAGGATATTTTCCCATGATTTTGCATGTACACTCGCAAAACGTTATGATATAAATTTAGTGCAATATATATATATTATTCCTTGCATTTGATTTAGGGCCTTATCACATCGTCCTGACGTCTCAAAGCGCTTCACAGAATATACTGCAAAGTGAATTGACTGTATACTTTGTGGGCGAAACACGGCAGACAATTGCACACAGCAGTGACCCATCATGGATTGAGTAAACAAATTATTATTTAAAAACAATTTTTGCACGCCACAAATTTTTTTACCCCCAGAAAAGCAATCTGCCAACCAGGTTCCTACTTGCTGCTAGATGAACAAAGACATGTGGATTAAGGAAACTTGCCCAACGTTTCACCCTGCCAAACCCAAGGCTTCTCGCTTGCGAGGCGAGTGCTCTAACCACTGAGCAATAGGTACGCTGCACAGTGGAATTCATGTGAGCGGGGGGAGGAGGAAGAAAATCCGTGACTTAACAAAAAAAAACTCGTGGATATTTATCGTGGGTTAATCTCCCAAATAAAGTTTTTGGTTACATTTAAAATGTTGAAAACAAACAGGAAGCTATGAGTAATAAAACACACAGGCTTTATTAGCTCAGAGCTTCCAAACACTGTTTGTAGAATGTGATAAATGTTTTCATGAACTTTGACAACAACAGACATTATTTATCCTCGAGTTCAAATAATAAATGTTTTCTTTTTAAATGAACTCTGCAGTTTTGTGCTCACTCCATCGCAAACATTTCACTTCAACGACCTTCAAAGGTTAAAAAAAAGCCTTATGTTTCTTATAGAAGGGAATAAAACACATTTAATAATTTTTCTTCTTTAAAAACAAAATTCTAATGCAAATCACGTCAGCAAATCACAAATGCAGTTTCAATGTTTAGTCAATGACTAAACTGAACTGCAAATACAAATAATATCAATTTAATTTTCTCATGTTATGAAAACAAACACGTTGCTCAGTGTTGCTTATAAAACAATAATAACCCTTGCATTTGACATAGTTCCTTTCATGTCAAGAGGATGTTTCAAAGCGCTTCACAGGATTAACTGTAAATCCTGAAAGTACAAAGGCAGAGCCAATTTTGTGCACAACATCATCCCACAAACAATCAATTAAATCAATGACCAGTTTTATTTGGGGTAATGTTAATCAGGATACCAAGAAAGAGAAATTCCCTTCTCTTTTCAATTCAGATTCCACTGGACTGTTGATAAGTTAAATGTCAAAAGGTCGTTAAATTGGATTGAATTGAATCCATGTTACTTAACACCATAGGTTTTAATTAACCTGTCATAACATAAACCTTTGCCAAATATTTTTCTTCTGAAAATTATGTTTAACACTGAAATATGTAAATTGAATATAAATGCAGTGCCTTCATTTTGTATTGAGGGTACATTGATACAGAAACTCTACTGTGCTTGGCTGGATGGCATAGGGATTGGATATCTCCCCCTTCCTAACTCTTATCAGTCATTTGACTGTTTCTGGGACATTGCTGTGCGCAAATTAGCTGCCTCGATTCACCTCTGAAATACACAATCACTGCACTTTACAGTAAATACTATACATAATCAGTTACATTTATATAACTCCTTTCACGTCAGGAAGATGCCTCAAATCGCTTCACAGCGCTAATTCCCACGAAGCGCTTTGAGACTCCTTCCTGATGTGAAAGTCGCCATTATTAAATGCAAATGCAAGGATTGTACACAACTGCAAAATCCTACAATAATTCCATACTTCACTTCTTCCCTAATTCCGGTGGGGGCTCCTACACTCTAAACATCAGGAGGGGGAAAGCTCAGTATGGGGATCCTATGGCACATACAAGGCCTGGTTATTTATTGGGGAAATGGACTTGGGTTCAGAGTTTGCAGTGTGACTGAACAACTGAGCAATTGAAATCACAACTACTGTTTGCTACCATCAGTTTATGTTGCAAATGACTTCTCTTATTGGCAGGATCCCATGCTATGACATTCTGTAGTGTGCTGTTAGGAAACAGTCTATTTCAGTCCTCATTGTGTTTCTTTACTGGAAATTAAAATGTAACCTTAACCCACACGAAAAACTAAGCCCAAACAGTTTGAATGCAGCGCCTAAAAGACTTCAGAGCTCTTCCCAGATACAGTGATTGTTACCACATGCAGTGACTCTGTATTTGTAGGCAAACAAGGCAGTCAATTTGCATTCAGTAAAGTCCCACAAACAGAGTGAGGATGGAATGGGTTAATGTACCTGTTAATGTTAATGCTAATGTTTCACTCACAAAATATATAGTCAATCCATTTTACAATCTATTCTGTGAAGCGCTTTGAGCCGACTCAACAAAATGATCAGGCACTTTATCAAATACAAGGATTATTAGTATTATTATTACTATTTTTATTACCTAGAGGGGGACGCATTGCTGGCTGGGGCAGGCGCCGGGAGAAACTCTCTTCTCTTTTCGATCCGATCAGAGGACAGACAACTCTCAGCTTAATTTTTCATCTGAAGGACTTATCTCTGACCATTCCTGTTCTCGCATCACTGCACCAGAATGTTAGCGTGGACTCTAAACTCAACTTGACATTGCCAGTGAGGGATACAGGTTTTGAGCGACAGGCGACATTCAGACCTGAACATGGAGCCTCTGTGATGAGAGGAGTTGGGCTCTCTTCGCACTTCCACTCCCATCACTGTGAAACGTTAAAAGCGCGCCACGCACCTGCTTTCCTTCTCCCACGTTTCCCGCTGGGGTTTTCTTCCCACTCTCTGAGCTCGCAGCTTTGCCCAACAGGCTTTCATCTGTTGCGCCCACTGTACCTCTGCCCGCAGACACCGTACAATAGGGTGAGCTGACCATCCGTTCCATCCCAGCATCTTTGTGTTCCATTTCGATTACTTTCTCACTGGTCTCCAACAGGTTCTGCCTGGCTCCTTCCTTCACCCTCTCCATTTCTTCCATCGGGGCCCCATCCTCTTTCCTCCCTTCCTCCCCTGCCCACCAAGCCTCTGCCGTCGGTCTCGCCGCCCCATCGGCCCAGTCCCCAGGCTGGGCGCTCCCCTCAGGCCCCTCCGGAGCAGCCGCCATACTCTCCTCCATCCTTCTTGCCAGTTTCTCGGCTTCACCCACTTTCAGCCTGGCCTCCAGCGACGCACACTCCGAGTGCAGTGACTCTTTCTTGGTCTCGGCCACTATCCCGCCCGACTCCTTGACCGTCTCCTCTATCACCGAGATGGCTGCCTCGTCCTTAACTTTCTTCGCGTCTTCCATACTCTTCCTGGCCTGCTGGTCCTGGCTGGTTCTGAGAACCTCTTTAGCCTCCTCTGCCCTGCGCTGGGCATCAGCAGCTTTATCTTCCACCTCTACCTTCAGCCTTTTCTGAAGTTCCAATTCTTTCGTCCTAAGCAACAACAAACAACAACAACTTGTCAAGAAGAATAACAACTGCCGGGGCTAGTGGTGGGTACGGAGCAAGGGGGGAAACAGGGAGGTGAAAACAGGCATGTTTGAAGAGTTAGGGCAGGACTTGAAGCTAGATAGAGATAGAGAGGGGTTGAGGGAGGGAGTTCCAAAGTTAGGGGTGTAGAATTGGAAGCTTAGCCACTAATTTTGAGGAGGAATGTGGAGCAAGGTGAGGCGAGGGTGGGGGGGGGGGGGGGGGGGGGTGGAGCTGGGGGTAGGATAGGAGGCTAAAATCATGAGGAAAGTTTAGACAAAGAAAGCTCTTCAGGCCATTTGATCTCAAATGATACTAAATGGCAATGAGAAAATAAACCCAGAACACTATTTCCAGATACCCCAAGGCAGCAGAAGAAGAGCTTTGGGTTTCAAAGGGGCAATTTCAACACAGACATCAGATTCCTACTTACTGCAAGGTGAACAGAAGTGTGTGGAGTAATGAAACTTGCCTAAGGTTTCATCCTGCCTGGGAATCAAACCTTGGTCCTCTCGTTTGCGAGGCGAATGCGCTAACCACTACGCCTCAGGACTCCACCTATTGTCGGTCCCTGGTGTATTACAGTAAATCACTCAGTTAGATGATTTAGTAGGAATTCACATACATGTTTGTCAGGTTGTGCTTGGCGTTGAGGTACTGCTGGTGGCATTGCAGACATGCCTGTTCCAGTTTGCCGACTGTTTTATCCCAAGACTCTTTAATTGGCGACAAGCGATGAAGCTTCTGCACAACACTCAGCATCAGCTGCTTGAGCTCCTTCTTCAGCTCCTTAAGATGGTCAAACAAAAGAGGGTAAAGGTCATGATACACCTCACCACTTAAAACTCGAAACCAAGTCACGTGTGGTTGTCAGGTACTCGAGGGCTGTCTGCTGAGCAATAGGCAAAGGCGATGGGCGAGTCTCCTTTCTGGAGAGACAATTATGGCTGTGCAAAGATTTCTGAAAAGCACAGGCCCTTCATTTGAGCTCAAATTTCCACCTGATCCTCGGCTATTTGAGACCATTTTGCCACCAAGCAAGATTGAACATAAGAACATCGGAATTTGCTAGACAATAAAAGACCAAGGTCCATCCAGTTCGCCTTCCACCATCCTGCCAATCGGCTGTCATGTCATGTCCCAAATTATATATTATATCCCGAGATAATATTTCCTAACAAAAATCTATCTACACAGATTGCACAGAATCATGGAAGATTCTTACGTTCAGCCTCAACTTGGAAACTCTTTAAGAACTGCAGGCAAAAAAACAACAGCCTCTGACCAGGAGCAGGTGGAGACTCGTGCGGAATATAAATACTAGTGTGGACTGGTCGGGCCCAGTGTCCTGTTTGCGTGCTCCGCAGTGTGCGTCTAAGACTTAAAACCGAACATTCTGCAGTTCTGGGAGACCAACATTTTAAGTCAAAATGGTATGGTCTGAGTAAGCAGGCTTAGGACTAGATGGAATTTTGGGCCAATTGTTGCCATGGATTATTACAAGGCATCTCATAAGGCCTCATGAACATTGAATATTAATTTACAACCGTCGAAAGAGGCCTGGCAATCTGATTGAATCTAAAATGAGCAGATAATAATCCCTCCAAAACCAAAAACAATAATAAATTGGTCATTTTCAATCTACGACTGTCTGTGGGACATTGCTGTGCGCAATTGGCTGCCGCGTTCGCCCACAAATATACAGTCAATTCACTTTACAGTGTGTTCTGTGAAGCGCTTTGGGACGTCCTCCCGACGTGAAAAGCGCTATATCAAATGCAAGGATTATTATTATTATACGACAGACTGCTGGCTTATTTCTGACCCCCTCAATGAGCTGCAAACATCATCGAATCCTGCTAGCTTCTCCATTGAGTCCTTCAGAATGCTACTGCACTCTTGTTCCACAGTAAAACAATTCAAGGCACAAAACAACACGTTGGAAATCAGCAGCTTCTATTTAACGCGGAAATAATTTGCCCTAGAATAAAGCATTATATTAGCAACAGGTTTATTATTATTATTCATAATAATACTGTAACGTACAACTCACCTCTGAATGTTCACATCACTGCCTGTGAAACTGAGTGGATGAATCATGCTTTTGGGTGGGACTAGTACAGGCTGTGAAGTAAGGGGTTTATTGGTGCCTGTGACCTCCATCTGCTCTGCCGTCATCATGAAGGTCACAGGTATGACTTTTGCACCGCATTTCGTGAACGTGTTTTCAAAAGGAATGGTCCAACACAGTCTGGAGTTCCATCACCAGTGCGTCACCTCCAACCATGTTCAGTGAGGACTGCACACTGCCTTGTTATTACAAGACACCGGGGAGAGTGGGGAGGGGGCCGAGAAGGGAAGGGGGTGGGTGGGGGTGTGCGGGTGGGTGGGAAACGGCCCATATTCAAAATTCTGTTGCCGTGACAGCAATCTCGACTGTCACGTCTCCAGAACGGTGGTGTCACCTCCAAAACGCGATTAGTATTTCTTTTGTTCCTCTCTGCCAAGTGGAATGCAAAAGAAAGAAGGAAAGAACGAAAGAAAGAAAGAAAGAAAGAAAGAAAGAAAGAAAGAAAGAAAGAAAGAAAGAAAGAAAGAAAGAAAGAAAGAAAGAAAGAAAGAAAGAAAGAAAGAAAGAAAGAAACAAACCAACAAACGACGGCTTTGACATCTTGCCTTGTCACATTTCACAGCATCGCTCTGAACGGGGCAGGTTTTAACAACCGTCCGTTGCCATGACAGCAATCCGCCACTTCTAAAGCCAGTGAATGCTGCCAGAGTGGTCCCTGCAAGACGACTGACAGGTATTAAAGCAACCATGAAATTGCTGTTGTTGACGATGCTGCGGAACTGTATGGAACCTCATCCTTGCGTTAAGCGAATAACTTCAGGAACGCAGTGACCGTAGGTGACGGTAACAAGACGTAAGTGAGGCACTGCATTGCAGTGATTAATACCAACACTCTGCCTTTTAAAGGTCCGCTCTTCAAAGGGTGAACGTGGCAACCAATTTGCACACGGCAATGTCCCATTAACATCCACAAAGCGGGCGACCGATTTTATTTTTTCTGGGACCAAACGGACGGGCATCTGAGGTGGCATCTGTCGCCTCCTGTAGCCAAAGCAGTCGACGTTATACTTCACAGGTTACTGATCGGGGTGCTAACAGCGGAAAGTTGTTGCAAAGTTCAAAGCTCAAGCACTCACTCCTTGCATCGATGAGCACAAAATTGCATGCCCCCGCGCACAGACACGCGCACACATAAAAGCGAAAAAATAATAATCTTTGTATTTGATATAGCGCCTCGTCACATCGTTGAGAAATCTCAAAGCTCTTCACAGAATCTGCTGCAAATGAATTGACTGTGCATTTTGTGGGCAAAATGCATCAGCCAATTGCACAGCGCAGTGTCCCACACACGGTAGTGGATTGACACCACATTTTTTTTAAAAAAAAAGGAAACTTGCCTAAGGCACCCTGCCCAGGAATCGAACCCGGGTCCTCTTGTTTGCGAGGCAAGTGAGCTAACCACTCCTCTAGATGTCCCAAGATGGTTCATACAAACATCAAAGCAGATGAAAAGTGTACTGGATTCTGGAAATGTACCCCTTAGGACTTGGAGAATGTGGGATAGTTCATTGGGGTCTGCTATTTTCAAAGTGGTTTTGTTGGTTGCCATGGAGCCAGGCAGTCCGGGGACTATCTGATGTGACAGTTCAGATCGTAGTTTGCACAATGATGACGCGATTGCAAAACAATGTTGTCTTTGTTGTAAATGCGGCCTTTATTTTATCAGCTGAGAAAAATAATATAACGTTTAATTAGTGCATTCGATATAGCGCCACTTAACGGTTGTTGAGTCTGTAACAGCAATCGAGAAGGAAATAGCGTAAATACTTGGAGAAAAATAATATTGAACAGCCAGGGAATTGGATTAATGTGAATAGTTCCAGTGGAGAAGAGAGCACCCACGCAGGCTTAACGGGCCAAATGGCCTATTCCTGCGCTAACAATAATAATCCTTACATTTGTTACAGCGCTTTTCATGTGGGGAGGACGTCTCTAAGCGCTTCATGGGATCTGCTGCAAAGTAGAGCGGCCGTGTGTTTAACATTCTCAGTTCGATGTAAAATAAATTTGGGAGGTTCGTTATTTCATAATTCTGTGTGATCTCAAACGTTTAAGGCAAAATGTTCCCACCAGACTCACAATTGTTGTGCTAACTGCTAATTCCCAGAACTAACAGTTAGCACAACAACCGTGCAATCCACTTTAAGCAAATATATCCTAAAATTGTCACTGAGTGTTGCAACGGACACCATTATATTTGTAAAACAGGCTTTGAGTTTACAGATCACCCCACTTTGGCAGTTCTTAAAATCATAGAATATTACAGCACAGAAGGAGGTCATTCGGCCCATCGTGCTGTGCTGACTCTTCGGACGAGCTACTAACTAGTCCCACTGCCCCGCTCCTTCCCCATAGCCCTGCAAATTTTTCCTTTTCAAATATCTATCTAATTACCTTTTGAAAATTGTTATTGAATCTGTTTCTAGGCAGTGCATTTCAGACCGTAACAACTCTCTGTGTAAAATTTCTCCTCATTTCCCCTCTGGTTCTTTTGCCAATTATCTTAAATCTGCGTGCCTTGGTTACCAACCCACCGGCCAGTGGAAACAGTTTCTTCCAATTGACTCTATCAAAACCCCTCATAATTTTGAACACTTCTATTAAATCTCCCCTCAACCGTCTCTGCTCTTTTCAACTTTCAACTTTGCTTAAACTTTTGACTCTAAAGCTCCCACTGTCATCGCAGACAGCCTCAATTCTCCGGGGGTGGTTTTCTTTTGAACTGAATCAAACCTGTGTCCTCCACTGCCCTCTGCTGTCCTTTACCTTAAGGTTAATTGCCGTCGGCTGTTCGCTGCCGCTGTATGCTGAATCCACTCTCTGAAGAGATGACATGAATGCCTCGGCTTGCACGTTTAATTGGTTCACCTTAAAGAAAAGTCACGCACACGATACATTAGTGGACCGGGAATATAAACGGAGAATCTTCATTTAAAGCTTAAAGCGAGAGAAACACCAAGAGAAAGGAAAGGAAAGTTCCTTGTGAACCCCCTGAACATCATTATTGTGGTTCATCATGCCACCAACGTTATTCGATTCACTTTACAGTATATTCTGTGAAGCGCTTTGAGATGTCTTCAATGAGGTGAAAAGGCGCTATATTAAATGCGAGGATTATTATTATTAATATTATTCAACAGGAGGAATAACACCATGTCAGTGTGGCCCTTTACCTGACAAAACAATATTTGCATGAATTGGCATATGTATTTTAAAATAAATAAATAATAATTTGCTTTCTCAATCCATGACTGTTTGTGGGACACTGCCGCGATTTGCTCATAAAGTATACATTCAATTCACTTTACAGTATCTACTGTGAAGCACTTTGAGATGTCTCGAAAACGTGATAAGGCGTTAAATCAAATGTAAGCAATATTATTATTACATGTCCCTAAACAATGCACAATTACTTAAAGCAACTAATATAAGCGAGTGCTATCATGGGCTTTGGCTATGGATTCATCCCTCACCCCCTTACCATCTCTTCGATAGTCGTCTGGAAGAGTGTACTGTTCCTCTCAATTTTAATGTGACTCAGGGCTTGTTGGAAAAGATCTTCTTGCTCTTCACTGAGCAGCAGTCCACAAACAGGGCTGGACAGCCCTTCGACACTCTCTATCTGCTGACACAACAGGATCAAAATACCAGTAAGTAACCAGTCATTGCCAAATGGTGACAAAACTTTGGTGTGTAGATGTCATTGGGTGAAGGAGTGTTGACACTCACTGTGTTGGCTTGGGGAGGTATGTGTGGGGTTAGTGGGTGGTCAGTTTGTGTCTTTCATCTGTAGCTCTCAAAAGTGTTGATTAATACACTCCTGGATCGCTGTTCATGACCCACCCAGTTGTTGGCACATTGATCAGCCTGGGACTCAATGCCGTTCCCTTTTCTTGATCTTGATCAGCACCTTGGGATGTCCTTCCGATGTGAAAGGCGCTATACAAATGTAATTTTGTAATGTACAGCAATAAGAAGGCCAAGGAGTGGTATCAAGATCCAGGATCCACAAAGTGGGTGAAAGGGCTTAAAACCATCCAACTCAGGCTCAACAATAATTATTGTCAAGCGCTTTGAGCCATCTTGACATGATGAGTTGCTATTAAAATGCAAGTTCACTCCCAAAATATAGTCAATCCACTCTACAATATATCCCGTAAAGCGCTTTGAGATGTCTCAACGACGTGATAAGGTCCTATATCATTATTATTATCATCAATATTACAAGGATTATTGTAAGACTTTTTTCTCAATGGTAAACCCAGTTAACCTTGCGCTTATGTTGTTGGATGTCAGCTATGCTGTTGTGTAACAGCCGTTATGGAAGCCCATACTGGGTCCTGTATCAACCTTAGAGAAGAAGGATTTGTGACCCTCGTTAGAATGGCCTGAAAGATTTACCTGAACTGCTTGTATTTCGGACTGAAGCGAGCTCCGTGGCCATGCAGGGAAGACGTTAGAGATTCCAGCTGAGGGTTTTCCCAGACCGATTTTACATCTGTTCCCAAAGGTGAAAACAATATTTTTTTTAAGTGCACATGTGACAACGATAACAACAACTTGCATTTATATAATGCCCTTCTCACGGGGTAGCGTCCCAGAGCACTTGTCAGTGACGAAGTCTGATGCCGAGTCAGGGGGAGAGAGAGGGGGGAACGTAATTGTAAACACGATCAAAAAGGAAGGTGTTCAGGCGGGATTTTAAGGTAGGGAGGGAGAAGCTTCCAGTGCTTCTGTTAACAGCCCATCTAAGCCTGCAGTCGGTGTGGACAAGAAAGTGGCACATTGTCAAAGTTGGGGTGATATATTCATTAACAGTAGCCAATTTCTCATTCAAACCATGAAGGTAGATATCCTGCATTGTGAGGAATAATCTCCCCATCTTTTTCTTTCTGTTTGAAAAATTCCCCTCCGTCCATTGTGAAGTGCTCTTTGAGATGTTCATCTTATGTAAAAAGGCGTTATGTAAGGGTAAGTAGTTGCTCAGAGGTGTACGGCTCGTGAGCTCTGACAAAGAGGCCCCTGCAGTTCACACAACCCGTCTGATATCTGTGCTTGCTGGGAGACTGTCACCTGCATCTGTTTTGAAAAAGTAAGAGTCAATCTCTGAAAGCTGTCTGCGTCAATCACCGTTTGTTTTCTGTGGTACCTCGACATAAAAACCACAGCGACAGAAGCAAAGCTACCACAGCAACACCATGTATCTAACCATTACCCTGCTCATTGGAATAAGAGCATTTTTGTCTTGTGCAGAATCCCAACCTTCTTTCCTTACCTCACACATGTACGATTGGCGGAAGGTCACTGTTTAAAACCTGAATATTTCAAGCGCCAGAGCTCATTTGAAAGGCGGAATGGACGAGAAAATAATAAGAATCCTTACATTTGATATATTGTCTTATTACGTCGTTGATACATCTCAAAGCGCTTCACAGAATATACTGTAATTGACTGTATATTTTGTGGGCGAAATCAAAATGCATTGATTCTGCGCGTCCGTTGGTCTAGACTCTGTGACTTGCAATTTTCTCAGTTCAATAAGTTTGATGTGTTGTATGACACCCAATTTTGTTATTTTTCCCTTTCTCTCTCGGCAATACAATTTACATGGGGGTGGGGGGGTTTTCGGATCGAGAGGACGTCTTAAAGCGATTTACGCAAATATTGGCAAATTTAGTGGGAAACTAGGGTATGGGTGGGGTGCGGAGTGGGAAAGACGACCAAAAGCACAGTCAGAGGTTGTGTCGAGACTGGCTTTGAGAGTGGGGTGGGAGGCAGTGTTACTCTGTACATCATGAGAAGGTGAGGTGAAGGTGTGTGTGTGCGGGGTGGGGGGAGGCAAGAGGAGTGAGAAAAATGATTAAAAACACTAATGGATTACTTGACAAAACTCGACAGTGCGGAATTGTGTTTCTTGGCATTGCAGCTGCTGTCAGACTTACGTAAAGAAATCTTGACAAATCTTTCCTCGTGACCTCTCAACTCAGTACGCAATCCCTGAAAGCAATAAGCGTAGAGTTATTCCTTTCGTGAATTACTCGTGGATAACAGATGAAACAACAATGCTAACTCGTTTATTGTTGGCTTATACATGGAGTCCTGTAGCACAGTGGTTAGCACACTAGCCCCGCAAGCGAGAGGAACTGGGTTCGATTCCCGGGCAGGGCGAAACCTTAGGCAAGTTTCCTTATTCCACACTCCTCTGTTTGCCTAGCCCTAGGTAGGAGGCCGGTTGTTAGTCAATTGGAGGATCTCTTTCTGTGGCAAAATTCCTTAAAAAAAATGTTATCATTCAGTCCACGACTGCTTGTGGGATCCTGCTATGTGCAATTGGCTGCTGTGTTTTGCCCACAAAAAATACACAGTCAATCGACTTTACAATATATTCTGTGAAGCCCTTTGAGATGTCTCTGTGACGTGATAAGGTGCTATATCAAATACAAGGATTATTATTATTTTTATTGTTGGCTTAGACATGTAAGACATTCCTTTTCATATGGGAACAGACTATTAACAGTCGTTCAGGCTTAACTAGAAGAAAGAAGGCAGCCTTATTTAAAGACAGCTGCATCTGTTACAAAACCCTGGCACAAGCTCTGTCCAAAACTACTCCACTTACCTCGATTACTCTGGAGCTTTCTGAAATGGAAACCTTCAGTTCTTCGTTCAGAATGGTTTTCTGCAACATCGTAAAGGAGAGAAATTGCTATTTAATAGTGACGTTAATGGGTGAGTCTCACATAAGGCGCCACCAACAAAGAAACAGATCAGAAGGGGGCTGGTGGCATCCACTTGATCAGGTCATCCATTTCTGCTTGGGTCAGCAGAAACTGATCGAGAGTTGCAAACCCCGCCCCCCCACCCCTTCTTAGCCAGGGAATGTTAAAGCAAAACCCCTTTCTGTACTGGTTAACTCTGGCTATTTAACATAGGGTCTCCTTGGCTCCCCCAGCCTTCCACAAGCCACAGCTTCAATCAGCTGAACCATTGGGGGGGAGGGTCCAGTACCCACTTACCTGTAAAAGGCTGAAAAAATTAAGGCATTACATTCCATGCATACCTCGAAAATCAGAGCGTCTTTTGAAATCAGCAGGCTCTGTGCTTCGTGGATCTGCTTCTGTAAAAGATCCCAAGTGAAACTTGCTTATTAATCTGAATATTAATTGCTTATCGAGTCACAGCTTTTGAAACGTCCTCCCAAGGTGAAAGGCGCTATATCAAATGTAAGGATTATTCTTAATTGATATTGGATACATTCATTCCCAGTATTTTCTTTCTTCACACAATCAGTAAAACCCAGGCTCAAACCCTGCAAAGATTTCCTTACTGTGAGCTCTGCGTTGACTGTTAATAGTTCGTCTACCCGATACTTCAGCTGCCGTTTCCCCCTCATGGCCTTTTCATTCTGCAACGGAAAGAAAGTACGATTGTTTTATAACAAATAGAATTAATTGGCCAAAGACTTTACCCGATAGCAGACAAAGAATCCCTTGCATCTGATGTAGCACCTTATCACATTGACGGAACATCTCTGAGTCTTTCACCGGATTTTTACTGTCAAGCAGTGACTGTGTATTTGTAGGTGAATGTTGCAGCTGATTTGCACACAGCAGCAATAATAATAATAATAATCCTTGCATTTGATATAGCACCTTATCAAGTCTGCGAGATGTCTCAAAGCGCTTGAAGGATATACTGTAATGTGTAGTGACTGTATGTTTTGTGGGTGAAAGGTGGCAGCCAATTGCGCACAGCAATGTCCCAATGAAACCTAACCGAAAAGTTAAGTCTTAAGGTAGGTTTTTTAATAGCAAAGAGGGAGGGGGTGAGGCAGAGGGACTCTGGGAGGGAGATACAGAGAGTGGGGCAGAATAGCAATTCAAGCGGGAGGCGTGAAGCAGGCCAGTGTTAGCTGAGCAGAGGGCTAAGTAGGTACATAGGAACAGGACGAGGCCATTCAGCCCTTCTAGCCTGTTCTGCAATTTAGTAGATCATGGCTGATCTGGACCTCAACTAATCCTTTCATTTCCAATTTCCTGCTTTCTCCCCATATCCCTTAATCCCCTGACCTACCAAAAATCTATCAACCTCTTGAAGGTGTGGATGGATCCAGGATCCACGACCTTTTGCGTGAGAGAATTCCAGATTTTTACCATCCTTTGAGTGAAAAAATGCTTCCTGATTTCACTCTTAAATGGCCAGGTTCTAATTCTAAGACTAGACCCCCCCTGTTTTGGATTCCCCCACCAGAAGAAATAGCTTCTCTGTATCTATCCTATCGAATCCCTTTGTCTTCTTAAACACCTCAATCAAATCACCCCTCAACCTTCTAAACTCAAGGGAATACGATCCAAGTTTACGCAGCCTTTCCTCGTAACTTAACTCTTTTAGGCCTGGTAACATTCTGGTGAATCTGCGCTGCACCCCCTCCAAGGCCAATATATCTTTCCTGAGGTGTGGTGCTCAAAACTGAACTCAGTACTCCAGATGGGGTCTGACTAATGCTCTATACAGCCGAAGCATCATTTCTTCCCCTTTATATTCCATGGCCTCTTGAGTTAAAGGCCAACATTCCATTCGCTTTTTTGATTACTTTAGGAACAGATGGCAGTTTTTCTTAATACTGTAAATTCCTGGTAATTCATCACTCCGAGGGAAACAGGCACAGGGACGAGTTATCCAGAGTGACGAGTTAGGCATATTTCATAAATACATAAGTAAACAAGGCCGTGATATTGACAGCATGATGACTTAAGTGGTAGTGACAAGTTAAACCAGGATCGAGTTATCAGCAATTTATTGCCTGCATTAGGGATTGGATTAGAGTCCTACTCCTTTTACTGCTCATATTAACAGCAGGCTGACCCCACTGATGTAGAAACAGTACCCACCTCTTCACACAGTAAACACATTTTGGCAACCAGAGTCTCATTCTCCTTTTTCTAAAACAAATGAGAACATGATTATCCACAGCATGCACGCACTTTATTAACACACCGCTTTTACTAAACCAATAGGGATTTCAAACTAAAAGCTAGCTGGCTTCCCTATGATTCAACAGCTCAACAACTACTTGAATTTATATAGCACCCTTCGCGCCAGGCAGCATCTAGCAGTACACCCCTCTCCCGTTCGTATCTTATTAGCCCTCTGGGATGCTACTCCGCATGAAGGGCGCTGTATAAATGCAAGCTGCTTTTGTTGTATTCAAAAAAATTTGTATTGCAGTTAAACGCTGATGTCGGTATTGTACTTTGCTGCTTGGGGCCGAGTCGGAGGGGTAGAGAGAGTTCCAGAGGTGACTAGCGTAGCAGCTAATCATTTTAATGTGACATTAGTGAGCATCTCTCCCTATGTATCTATTGTGTCCAAAGACATCCCCACTATGACGTGGGTTAGGCAGGCAGGACTATCCACAGTCTTTGTCTGGGACTCGTACCAGTTCTTTGCAGCACGTCTGCAGGTGGTAAGCTTTCTCTTGTGCTTCCCTTGCTGTGCTCTTTACATCTTCCAACTCTTCCGCCATGGACCTTATACTGCGCAGCGTCTGATGAGAGCTGAAAGGTATAAGTCACACCTTTACCTCGGTAGTGAGTGAAAAAACCCAATTCTCTCCCTTTCCCCCACTTTACTTCTCTCCCGAAAACTGTGACATATTGCGACACGCTTCCCAAAGCAGGTTTCCAGCTGAAACTAGACAGTGGGGCTATTTTTGGGGTCCATGACAGATGTCAGTCAATGTTTGCACAGCAATGTCCCTCAAACTTCAGGTTTGAAGAGGAAGATCATTTGATGCAGGGATGCATTAGTCCTGTGAGACCCAGAAGGTGAGGAAGCTGATCTGAACACAGCTGGGCCTGCCTCTACTCATTTTCAGGCCGGGGCAATAGTGTCACAGTGTCCGATACGACAGGATATCTATTGCATCTGTCACTCCCACTGATACAGAGAGGCAGTGGGAACAAAAAACTGAGATAAATCACTATTTTTGTAAGATTGTTGCGCGCGCACACAAACACACACAAACACACACACAAACAACAAAAGTACGCATCTTCTGGAAAACTAAAAGTACAATTTACTCGCGAGTGGCTTTGTATTTTTTCTTTGCAGAATGTTGGCGACGTTTCACACCACTTTCCTTTACGCTAATTACAAGACGCGAAAAGAAAGCCCCAATTTCAGCCCAACAACAAAAACAACAACAACTGGATCTGGTCAGGGTCAGTAGGAAACAAAATAAAACCAGACACGAGTATCATTGTCGTCAAGGTACCTGGTCAGCTGGTTCTTCAGCTTTGCAAGTTCCTCGGTCAGTTGTAAATTGGCCTCATCGGACATCTCCATCGCTTTCTGAAGGCTTCGGTTTTGCTCCGTCAGTTTCTGCTTTGCAAATTGCAGATCTGCAACACTGTTCATCAATTCATTCCTTTCTCTATAAAGAGAATGAGAGATTGCTCGAAGGAGAGGCAAATTACACTCTGCGTGTAATAGTTATTTCTGTGAGAGCATCGGGAGATATAGAGAGAGGGATCTATCTACGACAGCAATAACAACTTGCATTTATATAGCGCCCCTTGTGCAGGAGAGCGTCTCGGAGCGCTGAACAGTGGCGGGATTGGACACCGAGTGAGGGGGAAGGGTGAGGTGACCATAGACACGGTCAAAGAGGTAGGTCTCTTAAAGATTTAAAGATGGACAAACAGGGAACGAGGCTAAGGGATTGAGGCAGGAGTATTAAAACGAGAAGTTCATTCGTGATCAGAACAAAACAGAATAAAAACCTTAACTTCAGCCAGCGATGACAAAAACTTTATAAAGTTTAAATTGTTCCCACCCAAAAAATATGATGTCAGAACAAGAAGTTGCAGATTGAATGCCTCTTTACTAATGTAGAACCAGATAGCACAGAAGACGAAGACGAAGAAGAAGAAGAAGAAGAAGAAGACATTTGGCTCATCTTGTCTGTGTGGTCACTTTTTAAAAGAGCAATCCTTTCAGTCCCATTTTCCCCCAGACCTCATGCCTGCCTCCCTGCAATCTTAAACCTGGCATTTGGACGCTGCTCAGCAAATAGTTAGCAGAGCCAGCAGAAGTCAACACCAGTTTGACATGACATCTTGCTATATAAATGAGCCACGAGTGAATTGAGAGTCAGCAGTTAACACACATAGATTGAATGCAACAGCTTTCCGTACGCAACTGACGTGCACTGACTTCTGGGGTCTGTCTGCTCACCTGGTGGATAAGCATCTGGGGATTCTCTTGGGGTAGTTCTGAGCGGTTTGTAAGAATCTACAAAAGCAGAGCAAAAAAGCGCCAGAGTTAAGTGAACAGTTAGAAACACAACAGCCTTACGACTCACTGGCCGTAGATGATCAACAGATAATTTAGCAACCGAGCGTTTAGCAGGAGATTTACGTTTTTTGTTTGTTTGTTTGTTTGTTTTGATTTTGCTGCTGGTGTTTCCTTCCCCAAAAAAAGGAGTTCTCGAAATAATACGACCACAGCAACTTATATTTCACGCAGGGCAGTGTCTTGGAGAGCTTAACAGTGGCAAAGCCTGACGCTGAGCTGGGGTGGGTGGGGGAAGGAGGAAGTGACCGTAAGTGCGGTCAAAGAGGAAGGTCTTCAGTCGTGATCTAAAGGATGGAGCAAGATGGTCAACCAATGCCCCCTAGTTTGTAGAATTGATATTAAGTTGCTCTCGTCCCCACGTGTCGTGCTTGCTCACTGGCACTGATACGCGTTTCAGAGTCACTTTTGGCGTGTGATTGAAGTAACACACTCAATGTGACTCAACCGCTGGCATTTCTGCCTCTGCTTGGAAGGTGTCCTGCCAAGCAACTGTGGCTCTTAATGATAATAATAATAAACACCACAGTGAGTGTGTGAACTGCTGTTAATGTAGCCAGAAAGCAAAAGCTAATCTGCACCAAAAACATCCCACAACTTCCCTCAGCAACCTAGGATACATGCATCCGGACTAGGTGACTTTTCTACTTTGAACAATGCTAACCTGTCAAGTACCTTCTCTCCATCTATTTTTATCCTATCCAATTTCTCTACCTCCTCCTCCTTTACTTTGACATTGGCAGCATCCTACCAATGGAAAATACTCATTCGGTACCTCATCCATGCTCTCTGCCTCCACAAGAAGTTTTCCTTTTTGGTCCCTAATTGGTACCCACCCTTGCTTTGACCATCCTTTCACTCTTTATGTGTTTATAGACGACTTTAACGTTCCTTTTTATACTCTCTCTTTGCCCCTCTTATTTCCTTTTTCAGTTCTCCTGAACACTCTGTATTCTGCTTGATTCTCTAGTGTATTTTGAACCTGACATTTATCATAAGCCTCTTTTTTCTGTTTCATTTTAACCCCAATTTTCTTTGTCATCCAGGAAGATCTAGCTTTGAATGCCCTACCTTTCCCCCTCATAGGAATGTGTTGGTCTGTACCCTAACTATCTCCTTCTTGAAGACGTCACATTGCTCATTTACCATTTTACCCGACAATCTTTGCTTCCAATCCACCTTGGCCAGCTCTCTTTTCAACTCACTGAAATTAGCCCTCTTCCAGTTGAGTATCTTCACCTTTGATTGTTCATTGTTCCTTTCCCTTAGTAATCTAAACCTATTATGTACTGGAATCCTCATGCAGGGCTCGAACCCATAACCTTCTGGCATAGAGGCAAGCATGCTACCAACATCAACAGAAATAAAACTCTTCTTGTTTGTTTGCAAACACATGACACTCTGCCGCCAAAACATTGGAACAAAACTGAGACTCAGCTCCTCCGCTTCTTCTCCCATAACAACAACAAGGCTTTTTGATAAATGAATTTTTACCGGTCCCTTTAACAAGAAAGTTTTCGGTCACATCGATCTCAGATAATAATAATAATAACAATATAATAATAATGATGACAATATAAATTTACAATATATTCTGTGAAGCACTTTGAGATGTCTCAATGAAGTGATAAGGCATTACATTAAATCCAAGGATGATTCCTTGCATTTAATATAGCTCCTGATCATGTCTTCGAAATATCTTAAAACACTTCACAGGATTTACTGTAAAGTGTAGCACCACGGATTTGTGGGTGACAGGACAGCCAATTTGCGCACAGCAATGTTCCACAAAGAGCCATGAAGTGAGTGACCAATTTATCTGGGAGATCATTGGCTTGGCCAGGATACTGGTAGAAAACTCTCCTCAAAAACTCCTTTCAGAAATAAATACATACAGGTTTGTTCCATCGATTCCTTCTTGAACTGCCTGCGTCATTGCACTAGGTATGTTCACTGCTGTTAAAAAATATATACAAAAGTTAGAGAAGACTTTGGAACGAAATAAAGGAAATACCCTTCAATAATGTGATGTAAAATAGTTCCTCATATTATTGTGAAATCTGTAAATCTAAAGCAGAGATTTACCAACTAATTTTGTGAAATCCTACTTTCTAAGACAGAACGACACACCAATAAGATTCCCTAATGTAAATGTTTCCATTTCCTGTACAGGCTCTTTTAACGGTCTCTCAAAGTAAGCTTCACAAATTATTCCCTGTAATATAATAATGAATAATCCTTGCATTTGACATAACGCCTTATCATGTCTTCGAGATGTCTCAAAGGGCTTCACAGATGTACTGCAAAGCGAATAAACTGTATTTGTGGGCAAAACGCGACAGCTAATATCACACAGCAGTGTCCCACAAAAACGATCCACCAATTGACTAACTAATAACCGGGTTCCTACTTACTGCTGGGTAAACAGAGGCACGTGGACAAAGGAAATTTGCCCAACGTTTCGCTCTGCCCGGGAATCGAACCCAGATTCTCTCACTAATAATAATAATCCTTGCATTTGATATACTGCCTTATCATGTTTTCAAGACATCTCAAAACATCTCACAGAATGTACTGTAAAGTGAATTGACTGTATATCTCATGGGTGAAACACGGGAGCCAATTGCGCACAGCAGTGTCCCACAAACAGTCGTGGATTGAGTAACCAATTTATTATTACGTTTTTTCGAAGGAATTATTATCCCCGGAAAAGCATTCCGCCAATCGACTAACAACCGACTACAGTAATCGACAATTTACTGTTACATAAACAGAGTCGTTTGGAGTAAGGAAACTTGCCCTACCGGGAATCGAACCCAGGTCTCTCATGAGTGCTCTAACCACTCAGCTACAGGACTCCAAATGATGGGTATGATTGGTAGGTTAATGCTGAGATCCTACATCTTCTGGTAATGGGATTGAGACTGACCCCCAAACCCGTTTCATTTAGGGCTGTGTAGAGAAGAACATTTCATCCTATTTATCTGAGCTGGATTCAACCCCAGGTTCCAGAGGTCAAAGGACAGCGTTACTCCCCAGTCCCTTTGTTAACTGAGTCTAAAATTTCACTTACTATCCGTCCGTGCGATACAAGGATTTTCTCTGAGATCTGCAGGTTCTTCGTCCTCGGCAAGCCTGCAAAATACAGGCAAAAAAGCACCAATAAACAACTGTAAACATAGCCGCGGGTAGTTTATGACTTATATGCATTCCAGATTATAAAGAGAGATTTAGAAAGATTACCCATCCTGAGAACATTTGACAATCCATCTTTTCATTGTGGAGTGGAAACTTTGCCTGTCAATCGATATGTCCCTTCTCTCGGGGTCAAGCATATTGTGTAGCGAGTGCAGCCGGCCGTGCTCAGTGCTCTGCCCTGTCATGTCATGCAAGTACTGAACGATCACCGATGCGGGCACTTTACCTGCAGTGAAAAGAACAACAAAAAGAAAAGAAAAGCCACCTTCAGCTCAGCAGGACGCAAGCGTTTCGACCACAAAATACACAGTCAATTCACTTTAAGGTATATTCTGTGAAGTGCTTTGATACGTCTCGAGGACATGACAAAGAGCTATATCAAATGCAAGGATTATTATCCTGTCCAAAAAGTATCAGAGTAATTTTAAAGATGTACTGTACGGTGCAAGATGAGATATAACTCTTCCCGGATGGACATAAGATGCAATATATTCTAGTTATAAATTTTAGCTTAATGTTTAATGTGGGGGTTTATATGTGTGTAGAGACTGGTTACTTTTGTGCTTGTAAAACTGAAGAATAATGACTATCAGGACTAGATATTTTCCTTTTTGGATACCTTTGGAGTGAAATTTTTCCTGCTCCCCAATTCCCGAGGGTCAATGGAGAGATATTCAATTTATGTCAGTATCAGCTACTCCAAGGTCAGATTTCGCCCAGAAAATATACAGTCAATTCACTTTACAGTATATTCTATGAAGTGTTTTGAGTCATCTCAAAGACTTGATAAGGCGCTATATCAAATGCAAGGATTATTATTATAGATCAGCATCGTTAGATTCCCTATTTCATAAATGAGTCCAGCATCCTACCCTCAACCCCTTACAACTGTAATTACTTGTGCAATTCATTGAACAGGTCATCTGAATGTTTCAAACCAGCTGCATGCGATGAAAACAGTCTCACTCAGAGCCTCAATACCTGTTCCCTCGGTGTCGCACACCTTGAAGGTAATATTCAGTACATCCTCTTCTGAGCATATCCCAATCTCCTCACAGCCATCCACGGAATCTTCTGAAGGGCAGCTCTCAAAACTACCTGTTCAAAGTTTTAGCCACAAGTAGGACAGAAAAATAGGTGTTATTTATAATAATATAATAATGCTTGTATTTGATATAGCGCCTTATCACGTCGTTGAGATGTCTCAAGGCGCTTCGAACAGTGTAGAAAGGAAGTATCTGCTTTCACTCAATTATATCTTAATCTATGGAGCATGGCTTCTTGGGACTGCCTCAAAATTGTACCATGCAGGAAGTCACCGTGAACAATAAAGTAATGGTCAGCATAACAGTGAAAGCACCGGTGGTTTTTATTGTATCTATCTATGTGATATAATAAAATAATAATAATCTTTGCATTTGACATACATCATTGAGACGTCTCAAAGCGCTTCACAGAATTTCCACTGTAAAGTGGATTGACTGGGTATTTTGTGGGTGAAACGAGGCAGCCAATTGTGCACAGCAGTTTCCCATAAACAGTCCTTTTTTGGAGGGATTATTATATCCGGAAAGCAATCTGCCAATCGACTAACAACCGGGTTCCTACTCACTACGAGGTAAACAGAGGCGTGTGGAATAAAGAATATTATCCAAGGTTTCACCACACGCAGGAATCGAACCTGGATGCTCTTGTTTGTGAGGCGAGTGCTCTGTACTATGCTACGGGACTTAGTGTAGACCGGATCACTTACAGCTGGCACTGATGAATTCCACACGTCTTGCAAAGACGTTGCGATGGCCGGTCAACTCCTCGTGTTCGTTCAGCCCAGCTGCAGAGGATGCACATTCAGCCACGCTTCCGACTTCGCTTCCATCCACAGACAAACAAATCGTGCCGCTGTCCATTCTCGAGTCTATTTGCCAGAGAGAACGGGAGCCTGCAATCTCCACGCCCTCGTGGTCCACTGTCTGGCTCCTCTGGAGCACGGGGACATTGTCACCACGTTCAGCACACTGGTCTGTTGCCAAACTCATTGTCTCCCCAGTAAGCCTGCAACGGGGTGAATCAGCAAAGAATATGGTGTAAAAACAGCTATGGTCATGATGGGCCATGGAGTCTCAGATTGCCAGGCAGTCAGTCACCCAACACGGCCTGAACCGGACGTGCAGTTACAGGAGTCGACGGCAACAAAGTCGAATTGGAATAAAAAGCTCAGTGACACCAAACGTCAGGCGGTATCACTGTCCGGTGACACTGATTTCCCTGTTAATGTGCCAACTCATCTCTCAACACCAGAGCTTCACCTGTTGATCTCCAGCGCATTGGTTGCAAACTCGCTCCAAATTCATTTAACGTGTGTGCTTATCTGTACTGCAGCAAATGTATCGATCTGATATCCCCCAAACTCTGCACAGGGGGTAGTTTTTATCAATACTGTACTGCTTTGGCCCATCATCCTTTAAATTCATTTTGATTAGTGCGGTCTTTTAACCCCTCCCTCCCCACCACCCGCTCTCACACATACACATTGATCTTAAAAATTTATACACTGGGAGCTGAAGTTTACATCAATAATTAAGTGCTATTCTTACCCACCGCCGTAACGTCACTCAACATTTTATATAAACATTTTTTTAAAAGGTGCGGAAAGACAAAACAATGGTTTATGAGTTGAGTAAAGCAATGAAGCGCAAATATATTATATATAATGCTAATAATAATAATCCTTGCATTTAATATAACGCCTTTTCACGTTGTTGAAAGGTGTCAAAGCGCTTGATAGAATATATTGCAAAATAGATTGACTGTGTATTTTATATAAAATATATATTTTATATATATCTGTGCTTCACACTTACAGGACTGGATAATAATATTAATGCTTCCATTTGACACAGCGCCTTATCACATCTTTGAGACGTCTCAAAGGCTTCACAGAATATACTGTAAATTGAATTGACTGTATATTTTGTGGGTGAAACGCGGCAGCCAATTCCGCACAGCTGTGTCCCACAAACAGTTGTGGAAAGAGTTACCAATTTATGATTATTATTAATTTTTTTTTAAGGAATTATTACTCCGGAAAAGCTATCCACCAATCGACTAATAACTGGGTTCTGACTTACTGCTAGGTAAACAGAGGCTTGTGGAGTAAGGAAACTTACCCATCATTTCGCCCTGCCTGGGAATCGAACCCAGGTCTCTCGCCTGCGAGTCGAGTGCTCTAACCACTGAGCTACAGGACTGCACCAAGGATTATTATTATTATTATTAATCAGGACAAGTACTCGGGAAGTAAGTTAATTAAAGGGGAATGGGGTTCAAGGCAAGGTGGTGAAATCAGATTAAAAGATTTGCCACAATCTAATAAACTGGCTTGAGAAAGCTGGATGCACCCTGTGACCTATATTGATCCTCTATGTGAAACAAGGGGAGATATATATATATATATATACCTACATAGATAGTTCACAATTTCCAAGATTCACGGGTTGGTTTTAGCTCCATATGGGAATTAGATACTTGGTACTTATAAAAGAAAGATTTGCAGGGCTATGGGGTAAGAGCAGGGGAGTGGGACTAGTTAATAACTCTTTCAAAGAGCCAGCACGGACAAGGTGGGCCGAATGACTTCCTTCTGTGCTGCAAGATGCTACGATTCTATGATATAATAATAATAATCCTTGCATTTGATACAAATGTCCTCGAGACGTCTCAAAGCGCTTCACAGAATACACTGCACACACTTGTACCTCTATGCACAGCCTATCAGTGCAGAACAAGCCTGTACATACAAGCAAAAATACCTGTAGGTACAATATTCTGGTGAGCAGTGCACTTTGCACTGTACAAGCCACCCATGTGGAGGTTACGCGACCACATCACTCCCACCCTCGCTCGCCTCCACTGGCTCCCCATCCCCCAGAGGATCGAATTCAAGATCCTCATCCTCACCTACAAGGCCATTCACGGCCTCGCTCCCTCCTACCTCTCCGACCTACTATCCCCCTACCTACCTGCCCATACCCTCCGTTCCTCTGGCTCCGGTCTGCTCCACATCCCCCGCCCCAACCGCCCTACCATCGGTGGCCGGGCCTTCAGCCTCTCAGCCCGAGGCTCTGGAACTCCATCCCCCAGTGCCTTCGCCGCCTCCTCCCTTTCCTCCTTCAAGGCCGGTCTCAAGACCTTTCTCTTTGACCGTGCCTTCAGCTCCCTCTCGACTCTCTACCCCCTCCTCGCTCCCTCCCTTCCCTCCCCTCACCCTGACCATTTCCCCCCTGCTCGGGTCCTGACCCAACTGTACAGCGCCTTGGGACGTCCTCCCGACGTGAAAGGCGCTCAATAAATGGAATCTTGTTGTTGTTGTTACCTGCCCATGTAATGTACCTCCCTCACGTAAAAAATCGCGCACTCCCCACAAGACAAGTGTGTTTCATACACAGATAATAATAGCAACACATAATAAAGCCACAATAAAGCATTCTGCCACCTTTGGAGCAACCCAACTGCACAGGGCTCAGCACGCCTTCATTGGAATTGCTTGTTTATTATTCATCAGGGTGTCCTTGTTACTGCAAAACTGGTGATTAAAATAGTCTTAACATGTTCGGAAACGCTGGAAAAAACGCGATCAGCCCTTTTACCTTGTGGATTCCCCCCCAAAAAATACACACACACATACACACACACACACAACAAACACACACACTTTACGCTTTATCTATAAACTATTTGAAATGACAATACTAAAAAAAAATCACAAACTGTAACACTGCCTACCTTTAGACAGCATTTCGAGGCCAGAAAACAGATCTGCTGTAAATTGCATGATCTGTGCTGTAATTCCGGATTGGGGAAAGCGATGATGGTTTCAGCTTGAAGTGACTTTGCACCTTAACACAAAAGGTGCGCATATTATTTTGGCACAATGCAAATTTCACCTACTCGGTCACGGAGCATAAAGCTCTCTGGCTGTAACATGTAATATGTAATATAGTATTCCTGAAACGTCGAGGCTTCGGCAATGTATTCGCCTGGGCTATGGATGTAAATTTCGCCTGTTGAATGAACTAAACTGAAGCTCACTTCAAAACCAGCTGACGAGAGGAGAAAGCTCCCACTTTCTAAAAAAAAGCCACCTTTGAAAGCTCCCACTTTCTCCTGTGAGGGTTGATTTACCCTTTAACATCACAAGCAAGGAATTGATCCAAACCAGGCATACCATACCGTAACTGCACCATCGCTGACTTTACCGGTGTCAAATAAATAAGTCTGCACCTTTTTACTCACTGGATTCACGCCTTTGCACGTTGCAACTCGAGATCAAACGATACTAGAATCGATATCTGATGCAGTGTTTACAATGGAATTTTTTTTAATGCAACCACATTAAACGGTTAAAGCGTTTCATGTCTCCCTACCCAAGGATGATATTTTATATACATGGAGATCTCCTCGTTTTCAGAGACGTGAACGAAACTGCCCATTTTAATTTTAATCCACCACTGTTTGTGGGACACTGCTGCCACGTTTGGCCCACAAAATATAGTCAATTCCTTTTACAGTATATTCTGTGAAGCACTTTTGAGATGGTTCGAAGATGCGATAAGGCGCTGTACCAAATGCAAGAATTATTATTTTGATATTATTATTTTCCACCTGTTCAGTTACGCTTTCACTAGGACACTAAATACCTTGGTAGTAGATTATTTCTGCATTTTCTTTAGAAGACAAATCAGTTGGAAACGGAACGGGACGTGAATCGATTCGATCAGCAAGCTCTCGAGAAATTGACTTGCCCAAAAGACTGCTCAAGACCTTTAACGGTCAAGATTTATAATCAGTATTTAGTACTGTCCCTTGAATCTTTCCAAATTGGGAGTCTTACTGCAGTGACATCTAGAGCTAAACACAGTGCATTTCGTTTGAATCCATTGCCTGAATTCAAAGGTAGCACCTTGGACGATGGGAAGATTTTATCCTAAGTTGTCCTGTTCAGCCCATTGTTATCTCCCTCCTTGTTCTGCCTTTGGACGTCCGGTGCCCATAATCGGGTGCGATAGTTTGATAATAACAATAGTCCTTGCATTTGATGTAGCGCCTTATCACACCGTCGAGATGTCTCAAAGCGCTTCACAGGATATACTGTGAAGATTGACTGTTTGCGCACAGCAAGTCCCACAGACATTGTAGCTGGTGTGTGAGGGGCAGTAAGTGGTGTGTGAGGGAGTGGCTGGTGAGTGAAGGGCAGGGGCTGGTGTGTCAGGGGCAGGGGCTGGTGTGTGAGGGGCAGGGGCTGGTGTGTGAGGGGCAGTAAGTGGTGTGTGAGGGGCAGGGGCTGGTGTGTCAGGGGCAGGGGCTGGTGTGTGAGGGGTAGGGGCTGGTGTGTCAGGGGCAGGGGCTGGTGTGTGAGGGGCAGGGGCTGGTGTGTCAGGGGCAGGGGCTGGTGTGTGTGTGTGTGTAGGGGGGGGCTGGTGTGTGTGTGTGTGGGGGGGGGGGGCTGGTGTGTGTGTGGGGGCTGGTGTGTGTGTGTGTGGGGGGGGGGCTGGTGTGTGTGTGGGGGCTGGTGTGTGTGTGGGGGGGGGCTGGTGTGTGTGTGTGTGTGTGGGGGGCTGGTGTGTGTGTGGGGGCTGGTGTGTGTGTGTGTGGGGGGGGGGTTGGTGTGTGTGTGTGGGGGGGGGGTTGGTGTGTGTGTGTGGGGGGGCTGGTGTGTGTGTGTGTGGGGGGGGGTGGTGTGTGTGTGTGTGGGGGGGGGTTGGTGTGTGTGTGTGTGGGGGGGCTGGTGTGTGTGTGTGTGGGGGGGGGGTTGGTGTGTGTGTGTGTGGGGGGGGGGGTTGGTGTGTGTGTGTGGGGGGGGCTGGTGTGTGTGTGTGTGGAGGGGGGGGTTGGTGTGTGTGTGTGTGGGGGGGGGGGGTTGGTGTGTGTGTGTGGGGGGGGTTGGTGTGTGTGTGGGGGGGGCTGGTGTGTGTGTGTGGGGGGGGGCTGGTGTGTGTGTGTGGGGGGGGGGCTGGTGTGTGTGTGTGTGGGGGGGTTGGTGTGTGTGTGTGGGGGGGCTGGTGTGTGTGTGTGTGTGTGGGGGGGGGTTGGTGTGTGTGTGGGGGGGGGCTGGTGTGTGTGTGTGGGGGGGGGGGCTGGTGTGTGTGTGTGTGTGGGGGGGGGGGCTGGTGTGTGTGTGTGTGGGGGGGGGGTTGGTGTGTGTGTGTGTGGGGGGGGGGTTGGTGTGTGTGTGTGGGGGGGGTTGGTGTGTGTGTGTGTGTGGGGGGGGGGGGCGGGGCTGGGGTGGAGGGGGCGGGACCTGGTGCCCCGGAAGCACTCACTCCCCGGCGCTGGGGGACGCCTCGCGCGGTGGCGGTGGGGGGGGAGCGGGAGCCATGTTGTCCCGCGGCTCCATCGAGATCCCTCTGCGGGACACGGACGAGGTGAGCGGGGGTTTGGTGAGGAGGGGGCGGCGGGCGGGGGGGGGAGTGGGGGACCTGCCCGGGGGGAGGGTTGGGTGTGAGAGAGACACAGACACACAGACAGACAGACAGACAGCGCCGCTGCCGAGGCCCCGCCACTCGGGCCTGACTTCCTCCCGCCGGTCGGTGCCGCTCCGGCCCTCACAGCAAAGTCACTGCGTTAGTTTGAACACTGAAAACAAATGGCACAACAACAACGACCATCCCCCCCCCCCCCCACACACACACACACACCACATACACAACTACACAACACACCCCCACACACTCCCACACACACACACCACATACACCACATACACAACTACACAACACACACACACACCACATACACAACCCCCCACATACACACACGCACACATACACCACATACACACACACACGCGCGCATACACACACCACATACACAACCCCCCCACACACACACACACACACCACATACACAACCCCCCACATACACACACGCACACATACACCACATACACACACAAACCCCACACACACGCGCGCATACACACACCACATACACAACCCCCCACATACACACACGCACACATACACCACATACACACACACACGCGCGCATACACACACCACATACACAACCCCCCCCACACACACACACACACACCACATACACAACCCCCCACATACACACACGCACACATACACCACATACACACACAAACCCCACACACACGCGCGCATACACACACCACATACACAACCCCCCACATACACACACGCACACATACACCACATACACACACAAACCCCACACACACGCGCGCATACACACACCACATACACAACCCCCCACATACACACACGCACACATACACCACATACACACACAAACCCCACACACGCGCGCATACACACACCACATACACAACCCCCCCCCCCCCCACACACACACACACCACATACACAAACCCCCACATACACACACGTACACATACACCACATACACAACCCCCCCACACACAAACCACAACACAACCCCCCCCCCGCCACACATACATACACACACACCACATCCACTCCCCCCCACACACATACACACACACCACATACACAACCCCCCCCACACATTCACAACCCCCCCCATGCACACACATACACCACATACACAACCCCCCCACACACGCATACCACCCCCCCCCCACACACACATACTACACACAACTCCCCACACACACACACCCACACCACACACACAACCGCCCTCCACACACACATCACACACTCAACACCCCCCCCCCCACACATGTACACACACACCACATACAACCCCTCCCACACACACACACACACACACACATACAACCCCCCTCCACACACACACAACCCCCCCCCCACACACACCTCTCTACCTCTCACCCCACACACACACTTCCGTTCTCCACACACACACCCATTAACAACGCAGCCCCCAGTGGGGTGAGGGGTCACAGCAACACTTGCTGCTGTATTATATATGTCGGTGTATTTAGTGTAAATAGTTTCGCTGCAGAGTTTGTCAGACAAAAGTCCTCAGTAACATGTCCTCTGGGTCCATCGCTTGTCCCCTCACTCACTCCCTCCCTTGTCCTCTCACTCCCTCCCTCCCTTGTCCCTTCACTCACTCACTCCCTCCCTCGTCCCCTCCCTCCCTTGTCTGTACAGGTTTCTTCCTCCTTGTTGGGAGAGAGAGAGGCGCAGGTAGACTCTTCCTTTCCCTCCCTTCACTTTCCTCAACTGCGGGGCTCAGACACTCACTCACCACAAACTTTTTTAAACCCACCTCCCTTCAGCTCCCACCCCCCTCCTCCGTAAAGAAAAGTTGTTGCTCTCTCTTCAATAATGATAACAGTAACAACTTTTATAGTAATAGTAATAATAATAATCCTTGCATTTGATATAGCGCCTTATCATTTTTTCGAGACGTCTCAAAGCGCTTCACAGAAGTACTGTAAACCGAATTGGATGTATATTTTGTGGGCGAAACTTGCATTCATATATTGCGCCCTTCATATGGGGGTAGGCTAGGGTCTCGGAGCACTTAAACGGTGGCCGACCCAAGGAGAGAGGGGATGTGACCATTTGGCACGGTCAGTCGGTCAAGCTTCCAACCATACATCATTATTTCTCCTTCTTGTGAGGAACACTATATTAAAGTGAGAAACGATTTGTTTTAAATGTGGTTTAAGATGCGTTAAACCTATCAGTCTTCTCAATGCAGATACTCGTGTACCTTCTAGCAGATGTCAACGTATAGTCGATGAAAAAGTGAACTTGGGGTGAATTTTACCCCATTTTTTGGCTTGGGAGTCCCAACTCAATAGCACTCCTTCAGATGCCCCAATTGAAGTTATTAACTCAACGCAGACCAAAGGTTGAATTATAATGTAGTTTGTGTATAGCTCAGTATCACGTCATGCGAGCTATTGACCCACTGAGTCACTGAGATTGTTGTATTATTGCTATATCTGGGAAACGGAATGAGTTTGCAAGTAACCGTGGAATGCGTAACCACAACCTTCTACCCATCCACCTGCAAAGTGGGGGGATAGCAAGAATTCTTGGAAATGGACTTATTGGTTATGTTCACATTGGTAATAGAATACTAATATTGAGTGGTCATTACACGAGCAATTCCAAATTAAGGTATATCATGTTTTCGACAATACTGGAAGCAATACTATCACAGATTTAGCAGGTCCGGTGGGTGGATTTTACCCATCAAGAGGTGGCTTTGAGAAATGAAACTTAGATCCTTTCTAGGTCTGAATGCTGACCGGGATAGTGCTAAATGTTCTACCTTTAAGATCAGCATCCATGATGTTGGATTGGCTTTCGTCTTTGAAATTTGCCTTTTGTGAACATTTTTTGGTGGGGGGGAGTTGTAAAATAAATTATGCTTGGAATCAATGTAGCACCTCATTACCTTGACTCAAAGCAATTTGCACAATGACAGCCTTGTTTATCAATGAAAACGTAGCAGCTCGTCTCCTGTCTCATGTCTCATCTCAAGTGGCAATGAGATGAATAACTAATTCATCTGTTTTGGAGTGAATTTGGATGAGAGCGGAATCCTGGTATGGGCACTGGGAGAACTTCCTGCTCCTTCTTGAAATAATTTAATTTGATCTTTAATATTCACCTGAACCATTAGAACCACTATGTTCAGTTGAAAGGCAATTAGCTAATTCACCAATGCACTGAATCTTTGACTTAGTTATGAACTCAAGTCCTGGTTTGGGGCTTGAACCCACACACGTTGGACCCAGAGGTGAGTTGTTACCAAACGAGCCGAAGAACACAAAAAGTAGCATTAAGTCAATAAAACTGAGAAGGAGCTACTGTTGCATCTATCTGTAAATATGCAAAATCCTCTAAAATGGTAACTTTTGTACTGAGTGAGGAGTGCACAGCTAAACACATAATTGAACCACCTGAAATGTTTGTTGTTTGTGTAATCATTGTCCTTAAGCGCTCCGAGATGCTGCCACGCGTGAACTGCGGGATATAAATGCAAGTTGTTGTTGTCCTGTCCTAATGCTCACCTGCTAATTTAGAGCTCTTGAGTTTTGGGCAGTTTTTCGGACAGTCGACTTGTGAGCATTTTTTGACTCTTCCAAGAATCAAAAGTGCATGCGAAGGTACTACTGGATCTTAACCAAGAAAAATCTCGGCGCTTACTAATACAACAACAACTTGCATTTATATAGTGCCCCTCGCCCAGGGCAGTGTTCCAGAACACTTGACAGTACTGTACAAAGTACTGATAAGCTTCCTGCTGCTTGTCTAGCAAGGACTATCCATCCAATGTGTTTGCAGGGTTATTGGGAACCATTTGGGACGAAAGTTCCATTTTGTTTTGAAGTTGCTCAGCTGCTTAGATAGCTGATTATCAATATATTCTGGATTAATTAAAGCCAAAGTCAACAAGCATTTTACCGTCTGTTTTTTTTCTACTTTTCAGGTCATTGAACTTGACTTCGATCAGCTACCAGAGGGAGATGAAGTTATCAGTATCCTTAAGCAGGAACATACCCAGCTTCACATATGGATGGCCTTGGCGGTTAGTATTTTGTTGTCTCCTATGAACGTGCAAAACAGTTGGCCTAAGTGCTTCTGCGCTTGGGATGGAAGCATCAGCCTTGTTCGAGTTGATCGCTCCCCAGCAAATCCACTGGATCACTTCTTCTCGACCGCTCAAAGAACTCCACAGAATAGACTGTAAAGTGAATTGACCGTATATTTGTGGGTGAAAGACTAGGAGGACCCAGAGAAAAAGGGGGAAATGCAAAAGATCATAATATTTTTTAAAGAAGTCTTACATATAAATTCTATGTGATTTGGCACTGCTGCTGACAGTTTGATTTGAGCTCCATTTAATGACCTAAGAAATGGGATGAATAGATCAGTTTGATGGTTGGGTACTTAAATAATGTGTTTATAAATCTTGCAGTAGTCGTTTTTTTCGTTCTCTTTAATAGCAAACAACTGTAATGAACAATAGTGCTTATAAAATGATATTGCGCCTTGTCTTGAGCAATAAGTTACTTTGAAGTTTTTTTTGTGTAGACAAATACGGTAGTGTATGGCTTGTCTACTTGTCACAGTGTAAGGTACCTATCTTGGCCATAAAATTGAAGGATGTTAAAAATGGATCTAGCCTAGCACAACACAAGGTGACGAGAGGTTTGGAAAAAGAAGGCATTTTTAAGCCAATTTGATTTCACCCTTTCAGAATGCCCAGCATACCATCTTCCTATTATAGAATCAAGCTGTTCCTTAAAGTAGCCCCGTATCCTGACCTCAGCCATTCTCTTAACATTTATTTTAAAGCTTGAATACTTCAAGCAAGGAAAGACAGAAGATTTTGTGAAACTGCTTGAAGCTGCCCGCATAGATGGCAACTTGGATTACAGAGACCATGAGAAGGATCAGATGACCTGCCTGGACACCTTGGCCGCTTACTATGTGCAACAAGCTCGTAAAGAAAAGAACAAAGATGCCAAGAAAGAGCTTATTACGCAGGCCACCCTGCTCTACACCATGGCTGACAAAATCATCATGTATGATCAGGTGAGGCAAGCAGCGTGTTTTCTTAAAAAAAATGCGTGGTTAACCAAGATTCTGCCATATTGTGGCATCGTGCTTTATTATAATACTTGTCAACTGGCTCTGTATGTGCACAAGCATCCATCCTCTTTGGTATCATGTTGGTTGAATTTTCCTGCCAACCAAAGCTTTGTGGTGTATCTTGCACAAACTGCCCGCTCTATTATACCTCTGCCCACATAGGCTGATTTGCGCTGGTTTGCCAGTCCAGCTGTTCAGTTTGGGAGTTACCTGCACAAAAGGCAAGGGAAGGGGTTAACACCTGCTAACACTGGTAGAAGATTGAACCATTTGAGAGAATTCTGAAGTTTAAGTGTCGACGCTGCCGTTTTCTACTTGAAAGGCAGTGTGGTTAATGGTGTGTTGTTCTTCATTGTTGTGCTTTTCATTTGCACTTAGAACCACTTGTTGGGAAGAGCCTGCTTCTGCCTGCTCGAGGGCGATAAGATGGACCAAGCCGAAGCACAGTTCAACTTTGTGCTCAACCAATCCCCTAATAATATCCCAGCACTTTTGGGTAAGAACTTGTATTTATATAAAGAATGAGAGAGCTTTAGTGGCTTTGACCCAAAGAAATCGCTGTGTAGTTGATATTTATCTTCCGTCGACGCTAGGCACCACTACAAACTTTATATGGATTTTATCCTCATTTCCTTCACAGGCAAAGCTTGTATCTCTTTTAATAAGAAGGATTATAGAGGTGCACTGGCGTATTACAAGAAAGCACTTCGAACCAACCCTGGATGCCCAGGTAAGGATTCATCAATAGCATCTGATTATAGATTTAGTAATTCACTGAGCACTCTTTTTCACTTGATGGATAGCAAAGAATTCCCTGAAAACATACTTCCACATTTTAGTTATATTTGGAAAAGCTCCAAATGCAACTTAAGAAAAATTTAAATCTGCAAGCATTTCTTTAGTTGTCCACTTCAGAAAAACTTTTTGGCTGTAAAGTTTGCGTATTGTGTAACAGCTTGTTTGCGTATTGTGTAACAGCTTGTTAAAAAAACTATTAAAATATGCATTTTATACTTTGTGTAGATGTATTGAGGTGCTATATAGCAGATGTTGGCAATGCTGTACAGAGCTCATTTAAATGATCAAATGCCAATCGTGTATATTAAATTCACTGTAGTCTGTCTTCTAAATTGTCTTAATAGCTGAAGTGCGGTTAGGTATGGGCCATTGCTTCGTCAAGCTGAATAAACTGGAAAAAGCTCGCCTGGCATTTGGAAGGGCTCTGGAGCTTAATCCTAAATGTGTCGGAGCATTGGTGGGATTGTCTGTCCTGGAACTGAATAACAAAGAGGTAAATGGCTGCTCATTTCTGTCACCTACAAAGATGGATAAAACGAATCTCAGACATTGCTGCTTTTCAGACCCCACCAATTCATCGCTGAACATTATTTAATTTAATTATTTATATCAACAAGATATTGATTAATTAAAGATGACTCCGTTTAGCACATTTGAGGTAATATACCACAGCTGCTTTACAAGCTTTGGCAAGTGGTTAGTTGTAAAATTATTTATGGAAAAGCAAATGGTGAATTTGCAAAGATTTACTGCATGAACAGTTGCAGTATCTCTTGAAACTGGGAATTACTCTGACAATATTTTACAGTGTACCTATGGAGCTGCATTTAGTCTTGTTTCACAGAAGAACTTGCAAGTGTAGCAGTTCATTCATGAAACTGAACTAAACACCACGACTGAACTAAGCACTGCAAACAAAAGTGTCTGACAACATCAGCCGTGGTAATCTAGCTGTATGCCAATGAAGTGGCTGGGTTAACCCCATGCACATTTATTATGTACCAAAGTCCGATATTTAAATAATAAAATAATAATCCTTAAATTTGATATAGAGTGCTTCACAGAATTATAGTGCAAAGTGTAGTGACTGTGTATCCTGGAGATGAATAATGAAGTGTTAATAAATTATCCATAATTATTTTTCCAGGCTGACTCTATCAAAAATGGTGTGCAGCTATTGTCCAGAGCCTACACCATAGATCCCAGCAACCCTATGGTGTTGAATCACCTCGCCAACCACTTTTTCTTCAAAAAGGTAGGACAAGTTCAATTTGCAGGGTTCAGTTTTATTGATCTGGATGCTGATGAACAAGGAGGGACCCTCTGTTATACGCTCAAAAAGTTTCCCATCCTGTGTGGGTCAACAAGGTCTCCGTCAAGCAACTCGTTCTTGTTTTTTTTTACCCAGATCAACTTTGTTTTTTTAAAAAGGAATTGTGCTTCATATTTCGTGAGTCTTTGTGCGACATGTATTTCTTAAAATTAGAAGTCAAAAGTGACTTTTTAAGAAACAATTGACTTTGTCAGGCTACAGCTGAACAGAAACATTCATTGTTAATTCAGATTCCTCATGTTGGAAATTATGGCTTTTTTTTAGCTTAGCAGAATGCGAGTAATATTTAAGATGTGTGTAATATTTTGCTACATAATATTTTGCTACATGAATTTAAAAGGCATATATATTTGGCTATAGTATTATAATAGTATATCAGTGGTTAACCACCAAAGTATGAATATTCTTTAACAACTCCAATTGGAAAAGATAATTCCCACCCCCCCCCCCAATTGAACCAGGAATGATTTATAACACCTATACTTTCATGTAAATACACGTCATTTATTAGTTCTGTCCGGTTCAGTGTGTTACATCTAATCCCACTTTTTCTATCCATTTTTAGGATTACAGTAAAGTGCAACACTTGGCTCTTCATGCCTTCCATAACACCGAGGTGGAAGCCATGCAAGCAGAAAGCTGTTACCAGCTAGCTCGGTCCTTTCATGTACAGGTTAGTGATCAAAGTCTCTTCATCCAAATCTTGTATCCGGTTCTGTCCCTACATTCAAGGAGGCCATTGTTCTTTTGGATTCAATTTACAGTTTTGGGGGGAAAACTATGATCTTCATGGTTACCTGCTGAGGTGAGTTATCTCAATGAGAATGAGGGTAGACAAACTCTCACATTGGATTACATTTTAAGAGTCTAGATGTCATGCAGAAACATAATCTTGAGGGCAAATTTGCCTCCTAACCCTTTCTAAACTACATTAGTTTGTTCTTTAAAAATATAGCTGTCGTAAATAAGTTAAGTTCTGATTTGGAATGAGCATCCTTTTTGCAGATAGTTTGCACGAACATATTTGAAAATCGTACTTAATATTTTCAGTTTGTATTTAGAAGAGCCCACGCTTACCTAGAACGTGACTATCTCAGAATATGATCGTTCTCTGTTGGCTGGAGGAAAATAACATCTATTCCCACAAAAAATAGATAATCCTTGCATTTGATACAACGCCTTATCGAGTTGTCAAGATGTCCCAAAGCGTTTCACACTACGTCCTGTAAAGTGGTGTGACTATTTTATCTTCTAACTTCAGGGTGACTACGACCAAGCTTTTCAGTACTACTACCAAGCCACTCAGTTTGCGTCCACCACCTTCGTCCTGCCTTTCTTTGGCCTGGGACAGATGTATATATACCGAGGGGACAAGGAGAACGCAGCGCAGTGCTTTGAGAAGGTCCTCAAGGCTTACCCCAACAATTATGAAACAATGAAGATTCTCGGTTCACTGTATGCCACCTCTGAGGAACAGGAGAAGCGAGAAGTTGCCAAGGTGACTGACTTTGCCGGTCTCTGAATTGTTGCCAGTCAGCATTTATCATTTGTGGAGATTCCAGGTTACATCACCTGTGATTTACCCACGTGTTGTTGTAGTAGTTGTATTTAAAAAGTAAAACATATTCTCTTTTTCAAAGGGGCATCTCAAAAAAGTGACTGAACAATACCCAGATGATGTAGAAGCCTGGATTGAGCTGGCTCAGATCCTTGAACAGTCAGATATACAGGTACTTACAATACAATACAAAGTTACTCACAGGTCCCTGAAATTTTTTTGTTGAGTTCCAGTGAAGGTTCAGGCTCGCGAAGGATCAAATTCAGTCTGACACCAGGAAGTATTTGTCTCCACAGAAGCTAAACAACTGCTGGGTCTAGTGACTGGGTTGTTGGCGAGGGGGGTCGAGGCCAGGATACTCATTTAAGAACTGGCTTGATGGGAAGATATTAGATTATTTTGGAAGGATGAGATCATGTGACCAAAGGCCCTTCTTCATCTGAACATCTCTCGTAATCTTGATGTCAACTCAGGTCGTAAAGTAAGATATTGTGGATTGTTTGCAGGGTGCCTTATCGGCCTATGGCACAGCAACGCGTATTCTTCAAGAGAAAGTGCAGGCTGATGTCCCTCCTGAGATTCTGAACAATGTGGGCGCACTTCACTTCAGACTGGGCAACCTGGGAGAAGCCAAGGTAATCGATCCTCTTCACAAATTTGAAGAAGTTTCATGTTGATCATTGGTCTTGTGGGCAAAGTGCACTCAAATATCACATTCAACACAATGCAGAGGGATTCTGTGGAAGTTGCACTTTTCTCACACTGTTGGGAGAATATTTTGTTTAGGTTTAGGCCGTGTTACCTGTGAATAACTTCATAGTAGTCTTTAAACAATAATAAGTTAGTCACTTCAACTTTAATCCACGACTGTTTGTGGGACGCTGCTGTGCGCAATTGGCTGCCACGTTTCGTCCACAAATATACAGTCGATTCACTTTACAGAATATTCTGTGAAGCGCTTTGAGACGTCTAGAAGACATGAAAAGCGCTATATTAACTGCATGGATTATTATTATTGTGTAGCGACCAGGGAGTGGACGGGAAGGGTTGTAACCAAATAGGGTACTTTTTAACGGTGGATGTATGACTATATTTCCCAGGTCGAGGACAGAACCGTGAGCACATTTGTATGGGTTTTGTAACGGGAACATTATTATGAAGTACAGTGTAGATAGAGATTAGGAAACTAAGTAGCTTTTGTAGGGGAACCAGCACCAGCATAGGTACAATGGGCTGATTCTGGTTAGAGCATTAAATACATAGAATACATAATGTGCACAGACAGAAACTGCTTGGTGCTAGAGTCAAGGCATTGCAAAATTTAAAAGAAACTTATCTTTTTTTCAGAAATACTTCTTGGCTTCTCTCGATCGTGCCAAGGCAGAAGCTGAGCATGATGAACATTACTACAATGCTATCTCGGTGACAACCTCATATAACCTGGCCAGACTGTACGAAGCCATGTGTGAATATCATGAAGCAGAAATTCTGTACAAGAATGTTTTAAGAGAACATCCAAATTATGTGGACTGTAAGCAATTACTTTGGAACTCATGCTTTGTGGACAGTTATGTAGGACTAAAGACTTGGCTCTTCATGTTGTTTCATAGGTTTATTATCCCAGAGACGGAGGAAGGACAGATGGAGTGTAGATTCTTCTGTCTGCACTGTTTTATATGCCCATCAAACTGCAAATGTGAGCAGGGAGCTTTTCAGTTCAGGTGCCCAGCTAGCTGTGTAAAGTGCTTTTGAGACATTCTTCCAAAGTGAAACGTGCTGTATAAATGTAAATTGTATTGTGTTTCATCCTCTTAGAATTATAGAAAGTTTACAGCTCAAACGGGCCATTTCACCAATAATGTCTACTGGTGCAGGTTTCCTCACTGGAGCTATCTGCTCTTTAGCTTATTTCCCCACTCACTTTAATATTTTCCCTCGAGTATTTATTCTGTTCCCTTTCGAATGATGTCTTGGGGACTCTTGTAGTTCATCCATTCTATAAGCAGGCACTTTGTTTGCAGATCATCTTTACAGTATACAACAGGAAAATAATTTTGTTTCCGACTCTTCACACAGGCTACTTACGCTTGGGCTGCATGGCAAGGGACAAAGGAAACTTTTATGAAGCCTCCGATTGGTTTAAAGAAGCTCTACAAATCAATCAGGTCAGTGGTTGAACTACAAACCACAGACAAATGTTCTGAGCATCACAGGGTTTTAACATCAATAGCACTGAGCTATTATCTGGCGGGAGGTAGTCTTTTTTGTCCTTTTATTGTTGTTCCCTCCTCCCTGATATTGTAAATCATTGGGTGGAGGGGGTTGAAAAAAGAACTTTTCAAAAATTTAATTAGCATTGGGAAGAAAATCTCAAGCAGTGAATGCGCATGAAAGTACTCACAAAAGTGTACAATTATAGACTATTTCCCATAGCGACATTAGGCCAGTTTCCTTATTTCACAAGCCTGTTCACCTCGCAGTAAATAGCAACTCAGTTGCTAGTCAATTGCCGGATCGCTTTCCAGGAGATAAGCGGGGTCTCCTTGGATCTGAACTGGCTCCAAGGTGACAAGCCTGGCAATAGAATTTCAGAATCGAGCCTGCCCTCTGTGATGGTTTCGGTAGGCCTGTTCCTGAGCCAGGCGGGTCCGCAGTATTCCAGGACACTGCTGGTTACAGCACAGCCAGCCTGGCTCATCGGCATGATCTGGAAAGGCAAACCAATCACTTGGGGCAGAGAATCATCCAACTCAGCTCTGTTAACCGTGCAAACCAAAGCCCTAACGGGTAGGGTGCTCCTAGCTGGATAAGCAGCGGGAAAGCTTGCCTGACAGAAATATCAATGGCAAGCTATGCAGTTTTAGCTGGTTAGACTCCAGCAGTTCCCCAACGCACACTCTTGGGTCCCCCAAGCCTTAGCTCTTGCCAACTTGCGCCTTTTACTTTCTGGAATTAGGTAAACAGGATACATGCTTCCAGGGAGAGAATGTGCATTCCATTCCAACAATCTATCTGGGATTGCCGTGTGTAGGTGGGAAGCATGGAAATCTCAGCTTGGTTTGGATAGTCTTAAGCAGAGTGATGGGTTTGTTTCCGCAATGTGTCAGACACCCGGCTGACCGAACAAAAAAAAAACGATAATAATCCCTTCAAATAATGAAATAAATAATTTGGTCTCTCAATCCATGACTGTTCGTGGTGCATTGTGTGCAATTGGCCGCGTTTCGCTCACAATCTACACAATTGATCCACTTTACACTATATCCTGTGAGCGCTTTGGGAGTTCTCAACAACGTGATAAGGCGCTATATCAAGTGCAAGGATTCTTATATTAACTTTAATTTACATGGACCTTCAGGATCATCCAGACGCGTGGTCCTTGATTGGGAACCTTCACTTAGCCAAACAGGAATGGGGTCCAGGACAAAAGAAGTTTGAGCGGATCTTGAAGCAGCCATCAACGCAGAATGACACCTACTCCATGCTGGCCTTGGGCAATGTTTGGCTTCAGACCTGCACCAGCCAACTAGGGACCGAGAGAAGGTAACGCACTTTTTGAGGTAGAATAGTGTATTGTAAATGGTTGGCATTAATAGTGATGAGTATCCTATTAAAGAGCTGTTTATGGCATTCCATACAAATGTACTCTGGTATGTGGGAGAAAGGCATGTCTGCTCTTATGCTTCGTGTGTTAAATTGAAACTGTGATGGCTCCTTAGTAATTATACCTGTACCTTTTCATATTCATTGTTCTGCTATGGATTTGCCATCAAATCACATTTCTGGAGTAGAGTTTCCCATCATTTATCCTTAAATAATATTTTGGATGGATTAGATCTGGTGCACTGGAGCAAAAGTCTAGTGTGTGATAAACTGTAGTATCCAGTAGGATAGACCACACCAGTTCTGGAATCTGTTTGTAGCAGCATTTTGAAACATTTAATTGAAATGGTTTTAAAACAACCATGTGCACTTGTGTTGCACCTTTCACGTAGCATGACCACCTCGAAGCGATTAACAAATATGATGGGGAGCAGGAAGAAGGAAGGGAAAATTAAGGATGTTGAACCAAAAGCACAGTCGAAAAGATGATTTTTGAAGGGTTTTGAAGGCAGGGAGAGAGGGACGCAAAGCCAAGAGAACTGTACTGAAATGGTAAGCTGGAAAAAATGTATCGAGTTTCTCAGCTGAAAGAAAGGGCTGTTTTTACTCTGATTAAGCAGAGCCATTTACTTCTGGTTTGTTGATGCTTTTCTGTTTTGCCATATGTCAGGAGAAACGCCACCAGGATCGAGCATTGGCCATTTACAAACAAGTGTTGAGGAACGACCCAAAGAACCTGTATGCTGCTAATGGCATAGGTATGGGCTGACATGACAGTACGCAACGAATGGTCTCATGTTAAAGACAGAACTCCTTTCACATTCTTATCTAAAGCCATCTCGTTGGGGACTAGGATCATTTCCCCAACTGTACAGCGCCTTGGGACGTCCTCCCGACGTGAAAGGCGCTCAATAAATGGAATCTTGTTGTTGTTGTTGTTGTTTCAATCACAACAGTGCATTCAACACGGTCCAATTCCATTCTCACATCTGTAGGAAGTGATGCTGCTTCCAATTTGTTAAGCCCGATAGTAAATTTTTAGTAATTTGGTGCAAGATTTTCACATTTTTTAAAAGATTTTTAGGACACTTGCAGTCTGTGTAAGGCGAGGTGAAAATCTGTACAAGTTTATTTATCTGCTCAAACAGTGGCTTGAGTGACTTCACTGCATTGACAGGTTGATTAGATTTTTTTAAACATTTTTAAAAGTTCACTGTGCCAGGACTTCCTTGATGAGTTAGTGGGAGGTGGCAATCGTTCTCTCCCCTTGAGCCGATGGGGGTGGGGGGAAGGATCAGGATTCCTATTCCAAACCGCCTCCAGCAATCCCAAATGGGAGGGAGAAAATATAAGACACAACAGGCACTTATGTGTGATTCCTTTGATATTCTCCAGGAGCTGTATTGGCACACAAGGGCTACGTCCGAGAGGCTCGGGATGTGTTTGCCCAGGTCAGAGAGGCTACAGCAGAAATCAGCGACGTCTGGCTAAACCTTGCACATATCTACGTGGAACAGAAGCAGTATATTAGTGCTGTACAAATGGTGTGTATGAGCTTCATATTTCATACTTCAAATACAGTGTTTTGATATCCGCTTATTAATTTGCTGTAAATAAATATAATTGCACTGAATGTCATTTAGCGCCCATATTTTCCCAGAAGAAATCAAATCATTGAAGAAGATCACCAACCGTCCAGCATTCCTGAATCGTAGGCAGTCTTTGAGAGTTGTACGTGTTTCTTTAGGAATGAGGTCCTTCCATACTATAGACTGAATATTGTGGACGTGTACCTTCCAATGCAATGTTCCTGATTAATTTGTCTTCACCCTACCTCAGAGGACAAACTCCTTGATGTGCACCAGCCCTATTTGCGTTTCCCTTTGACTTCTCAGAGTTTTAAAAAAAATACTGAATCCAAGCCAGTTTAGTGTTCGGCAATTAAGTTAATAGTAACGCCAATGCCAAATTCGTTTTGTTTTGTTCCCTCAATAGGCAGCAGAGAGAATAAGTTTTCTTCCATTCCTTCAGTCATTGTTGGATACAAACTCAAATCCCAGAGGAAGGGCACTAATCTGTGTATTTTTTTCCCCAGTATGAGAATTGTTTGAAGAAGTTCTACAAACACCAGAACACCGATGTGCTGCTGTTCTTAGCCAGAGCTTATTTCAAATGCAGCAAACTTCAGGAGTGCAAACAGACTTTGCTGAAGGTAAATGTGGAGCCGACAAGTATTTGTCGTTTGGGTTCTTTTTGCTGACTAACCAGTGTATCGCCTGCTGCTTTTGGCCCAAGCCTCACGGTTGCATTCACGTACAAGTGCAAAACTAAACCAGGTTGGAAGCGCATTGTCTGCAATTAGCACACTGAATGTTACTTCAAAATTACTGATCTATTGAGAAATTATTTCACACCATTGTTTTCCCCCACTTTTGTTTTGAGCCGTTGGGGAACATGAAAACTAAGAACACGGGAGGGTTCATAAAAGCAAATCACTTCTCTTCGCAGGCCAGACACGCAGCTCCTAATGACACCGTGCTCATGTTTAATGTGGCCTTAGTGCTGCAGAGACTCGCTACCTCTGTGCTGCGAGATGAAAAGAGCAACCTGAAGGCCGTGTTGAACGCTGTCAAAGAGCTGGAACTTGCTCATAGGTAAGAAGCGGTGTTCGGAATTAGCAATACAATACAGAATTACATTTGTATAGCGCCTTTCATGTCGGGAGGACGTCTCAATGCGCTGGGACTTTGTAAGACACGTTGAAAGTGGGGAAGCGTTCCTTGTTGTGCTGCTGTTAAATAAAAATTAACTATAACGCTGCATGTTCCCCGTTGCAGGTATTTCAAGTATCTGAGCAACGCTGGAGATAAAATGAAATTTGATTTGGCGCAAGCTGCTGCTGAGGCCAGGTATGTACTTTCCAAGCCCCCAGAAACGCTAAACCTTCACTGCTGTTAATTATTTAGTTAAACTCGCTCGTCCTCTCGGCTTCTCAGATACTTTTACAGTAAGGTAATCCACACTCCCACCGCCGTTCTGCATATAGCCAGTCCTAGTTACTAGCATCTTGTGGGCAGGGGTGAATGTTCTGTTAAGATACCCACTTGATTGAGGTTTGGCCAGTGTTGTTGAAGGTTTAGCCACAATCTAGAGGTGTTTTCAGACAGCTGATCCCCATCTTATTGTAGTAACAGATTTGCATTGTAGTTTTAAAAAAAAGTCTAGAGACTCTGGATCGTTTAAAATTGTATTTATTCAGTGCTTTACAGCTAATAACAATAAAGCTATCCCGATATCTGTGCAGCTTTGTCACTGTAATATTAGCATTTACACTGTCTCATGATGGAATCTACTTACAAGAGTGTCTTCCTATCCCTGTGGTCCTTCAGTGTAGATGCAGCCAGCTCGCCTCACTGCTTACTAACGTTACTAATGTTTCACAAAACAGGCAAAGATGGTTTACCTGGGGTGATGGCAATGCACGTTTTGTGTGTGATTCCAAAATGCGTGGAGTGGCATGTCTCATGTTTATACTGTTCCAAACCCGGGCGGTATTCAACTGCACGGCCATTGGATAGCTGCCTCTTTGCTGACTGCCTGCTGTGTATTTTAGGCAGTGTTCTGATTTAATGAGCCAGGCTCAGTACCACGTGGCCCGTGCTCGCAAACAGGACGAAGAAGATCGGGAGCTGCGCTCCAAACAGGAACAGCAGAAGGAACAACTCCGAATGCAGATGGTTAAAGAACAGGTAAGTACACAACACACAGTCTCTACGCTTTACAGTTAATCCTGGGAAACACTTTAAGGTGTCCTCCCGACATGAAAGGGGCTATATCAAATGCAATGATTATTATCTTAGTATTCTTAGTCATCTGTTTCCCGGCTGGAAGTTTCAGTGGTTGCAGCAGCATTATACAGTCATCTTCACGTTTGTGGCAAGTCTGTTAAAATGACTTTGTCTTGTTTTACATCTATTAATGGCCAGAATTGACCTAAGCAGAAGTGTCTGCTCTTTTTGTTCGGACCCAGCATGATTCAATGATTCAACAGTATGAGCTTACAGCTGATGTGCAAATTTGGTCAAAGTAGCACTTAAACATTCTTTCACGGTAGTTAAGTACAAAACTAAGTTTCGTTATGGTGCAATGGAGGGGTCTGTATTTTAGTTGCTATTTGCTGCTTTTCTTTGTGGAGTAGATTTCCAAGCTGCGTTCTCTAAAACCCTGAGGCTGTACTGGTGACCCAAGTCTTATTTCGCCAATGAAATTCACCTCTTCCTTATCCTATGGTTTATAGGAGGACAAGAAGCAGAAGGAGCTGGACGAACAGCGCAAGCTGCTGGAGCAGCGCAGTCAGTTCTTGGAGAAAACCAAAAGCCTTCTGGTGTTCAACGACGAAATGGACACTCCAAAGGAGAAGAAGAAAGGCGGCAAGGTAACATCCCACCTTCCTTCAATATCTCTACCCCCACCCTCCCCCCCCCCCACCCCCAGGTTACCTGGAAGCTTACAACATGTCCTGGAAACACTACTACACAATATACAGTCAACTCTTGATAACTCGTCACTCCAAAGGAAATAGGCTCAGGGATGAGTTGTAAGGAATGGTGAGTTAGGCACGTGCACAAAAAATGTGGCCGGGATATTGACTTAAGTCATATTGATATGATGACTTAAGTGTTAGTGATAGGTTAAGCCAGGGTTGAGTTATTGGTATTACCAGTCCCTACGTATCCAGGCCTTGCTGATGAGTCAGACTATCTGGTCAACCATGGTTAGGGTCTTAGATTACCACATGACGTACTCTTTAACATCCCCATCCCTAGGATATTTTATCCCTAGTACTTGTTTCATTGACTTTGACAGGGTGAAAGATCCACTGGGAGTTGAATTAAGGGACTGAGCTTCCTGTGTCAAGTGTCAGTAAAATTTTCTTTATGGGGGAAAAAAAATCCTATGCATCGGCATAGCAAGTCATTTTCCACCTGAGAACTCAGCATTCCCAGGACGCTACCCCACGTGAAGGGCACTGTCTAAATACAAATTGCTGTTGTTGACTTACCGTCTGCTTCTGATTTGAATGCTTACAGCGGGTGAAGAAGGGGGAGTTCGAAGAGTTTGTCAATGACGACTCGGACGAAGACCTTCCCATGCCCAAAAAGAAGAAGAGGGTCCGAGGTAGTGGTAGCGAACAGGAGGGAGGCGAGGAGGACGGCGATCAAAAGAGAAAGAAGAAAAAGAGGAGAAGGTTTGTAAAGGGATCGTTTGGGGAAAGAGTATGGGCGGCGCAGGGAGCAGAGAGAAAATTAAATGATGCAGTGGAACATTTAACAATAAAAATAATAATCCTTGCATTTGATATAGCGCCTTATTACGTCTTCGAGATGTCTCAAAGGACTTCACAGAATATACTGTAAAGCGAATTGACTATATTTTGTGGGTAAAACGCGGTAGACGATTCTGCACAGCAGTGTCCCACAAACAGTCGTGGAGTGGGTGAAAAATTATTTTTTTGAAGGGATCCCCGGTAAAGAGATCTGCCAATTGACAATCAACTAGGTTCCTGCTTACTGCTGGATGAAGAGAGTTGTGTGGAGTACGCAAACTTGCCCAATGTTTTGCCCTGACCGGGAAATGAACTGAGGTCCTCTCGCTTGTGAGGCGAGTGCTCTAACTGCTAAGATACAGGACTCCATGTATCAAGGGATATGCGGCATAGATGGGTATTTGGAGTTGAGGTACAAATCAGCCACGATCTAATAGAATTGCGGAACAGGCGCAAGGTTTGGAACCAGATGTCTTGTACGTGGCTATTGAAGTAGAGATGACAGTAATTTAAAAGGGAAGTGGATAAACATTCGAAGGGGAAGAGTCCTGAAATGTTCCATGTTTTGACAGACCACAGAGGGGTGCGGAGGAGGGCAGCGATGACGAAGGTGGCACCAAACCTAAGAAACCACGGCGACCAAAAGCAGGAGAGCGCAAGAAGAAAGAGAAGGTGTGTGTCTCTCGAACACATTGAGGACTGCTTGTGTAGCACTTGATTTTGAAAGACACGTTATTAATAACAGAATCTGGAACTTGGGTTTAGAAGTCACTAAATTGCTGGAGATAACTATTATACTGTGGATATCTTACAATGTAACGCCTTGTTAGAGCACTTGCCAACTTGTAGTTTAATCGTGCTGTTACGATTCACAAGGAATAAGGTACACCACATAGTGTGGATGTCTTCCAAGTTATTTAATTAGAGTCTCAATCCAACATACAACTCTGCAATCTAACTCTCAACACCTTCCCCGACCTCAGTGTCAGCTCATGCTTTTATACTCTTTAAGAGTTCAGTCAGTCAGTTAAGTGATTAACACCTGACTAAGCCTCATAATAATTGGTACCTGACTTCAGTGAGTCTAACAAGTGGATCCATATTATTCAAAACTGTTGTTGTGTGAAGTACAGCACAGCTGAATTCTCTCTTGTCTTCCTCTGTTTCAACCCTAGCCTGAGCGCCCTCCTATGAAGGGCAAAATCAAGTCCAAAGCGATCATTTCTTCCAGCGATGACTCTTCTGATGAAGGAGCTCTGAAAATAGCTGAAGGGTAAGGAAATGACCCACCTATTGGGACTTAATCACAGTTAAACTTTTGGTTTACATCTAGGAAAAACTAAGTTATTCAGATGCTGATGAGAGTCCTACTCCTTTAGAGGGAACGCTTTCATTTACTCAGTTGGAGGTAGGTGGGGTGGGGGTGTCATTAATTCATAGATATGGTGTGTCAGTGTGGTTTCCTCCAAATTTTCACAGAATACTAGTATTCCATTGTTGTATGACAGGATACCTAAAGCATGTAGTCAGCCAGTGAGTGTGTGTGCGTGTATGGGTGCTTGATCTACTCTGGTAGCTAAACATTTCCAGGGAAACCACCAATTGAGGAAGAAGCTACCAGAAAGCTACACCCCTTGATCTACATAATCCTGGCCGGCCACACATTCAGAGTCAAACACTGCGTAGAACGGCTCAGCACATTGGAAGTTTATAGCCAGTGCTGTAAGCTTCCTCTTATAATCGCAGCCTAGACTTAATCCTCATCTTATGCCATTGCACCTCCAGTGCCCTTATAGGGGGCTGGTCAGAGACCTATCAAAATACTTTTTTACAAGGGCAGAGTTAAATCTGTGCCAGTTTGGATTGGGGAACACAATAAATAATAATAATAATCCTTGCATTTAATGTAGCGCCTTATCGTGCCTTCAAGACATCTTAAAGTGCTTCGCAGGATATACTGTGAAGTGAATTGACTATCTTGTGGGCGAAACGAAACGGGTTTCCTGCGAGTNAAAAACGCACGTTTCCTTTCAGAAACGCACGAGACAGTGGATCAGATGGAGAGGAATCCGCAGACAAGGCTAGGAAACGCCTTGTTTCCGAGAGCGAGTCTGAGGAGGATCGACGCCGCAACAAGTCAGACAGCGACGCGGGCAGCCGGTCTGGAAGCCAGCACTCCGAGAGCGGGAGGTCAGCCAACGGGCGGCTACAGTCCAGCGGCTCAGAGCAGTCTGACAACGAGTCCGTGCGCTCCAGGAAAAGCCACTCCGGCAGCTCGCGGGGAAACGAGTCGCCCGCGGCTTCCCAAACCGCCAACGACTCGGACCAGCAGGGATCCGACAGGGCGTCCGACAACCAGGCCTCGGCCCCGGCATCGCCCGCGGGATCCGAACAGGGATCCGACGTGGAAGCCCCCTACCGTGGGTCACCGCCTCCTGCCAGATCGGACGACGACAGCGAATAATCTCAATAGACTTTACTTCCACTTTCTTCTCACCGGTTCACAGAGCGTCTGTCTGGCTGAGCCTGGCCCCGTCAGACAGGAAAGCCGAGAGAAATAACTTTGTTTTTATAGCTGTGAACATTTTCGGTTTCATTTTTTTCTTTACACTTTTTTTTTCCTCGCAACGGATGTACGTGACACCTACTTGTGAGACCTCGCTTCCATTTGTTTTTTGTTTGTTTGTTGTCGCTGTTGGTGCGTTTTGCACCAGGGATAACGGCGGCTGCATCAGCGGTGGTTTTCCAACCCGAGTACCACTCTTAACGTCCTGAAATTATGTTGTCTTAAGAGATAAAAAAAAAAGTGGTACAGACTGGAGGCTGGTTCGTGGGGACGGAAGCGAGTAAATCTTTTTAGGAAACATGGACTTCTGGAGTTCTTGAGAAATGTGATCTATGACACTTGAACTCCACCCCCCCACCCCACCCTCTGTAAAACCAGCTGATGCAGCATTTGTTAAATAAAAGTTCACACTAAAACAGGTGTTGCTTTAAATGCCTAGTTACGGGCCTCAGAGCTTCACACCTTTAACAAATTAACATTCAAAGAGCGCAAAATGACCATTAAAAAGAAAGCCATTGGAAAGAAAAATGATCTCTTTAAAATAACTGTTGTTAAAATGTACTGTAATATCCACAACTAATTACTATTGAATGACATGCAGGAGCAGTAAATGACACCGATCGAGAGCTGGGTATAGGCATTGTTGTATCAGGTTTTTGTGATGGGCCACTAAGCTTTGTTGTGGGTTCAAGCCCTCCACTTCGGAACTTCAAGCGTATATATTCCAGGTCGACACTCCCAACGCAGCTCTGGAGGGGGTGGGGGGGGGGTGCTGCATTGTCGAAGAGTGCTGCCCTTCAGATGAGACGTTAAACCGATGTCTCGACTCATATGCAGGGGGACATTAAAAGTCCTGTGGTATTCAAAAAGAAAGAAGGGAGTTTCTCCCGGTGTTCTCGCTTCACAATCTTTCCTAGAATTCCCATTACAGGTTAGTGCTTTTTCTTAAATAAGTCAGCCCAGTGACCTAGCCTCCCACATTTTATGATAAGTCCTGTCGCTCAGTGGTTAGAGCACTTGCCTCGCAAGCGAAAGACCTGGGTTCGAGACCCTGCCTCGGCAGGGCAAAACCTTAGGCAAGTTTCCTTACTCCGCACACCTGATAATAATAATAATAATCCTTGCATTTAATATAGCGCTTTTCACGTCTTCTAGATGTCTCAAAGTGCTTAATCCCTCAAAAAAAACTAATAAATCGGTCACTTTAATCCACGACTGTTTGTGGGACACTGCTGTGCCCAGTTGGCTGCTGCGTTTCGCCCACAAAATATATAGTCAATTCACTTTACAGTATACTCTGAAGCGCTTTGAGATGTCTCGAAGATGTGATAAAACGCTATATTAATTGCAAGGATTATTATTATTATAAGATGACCCATCTGAGGATTATCTTCTGGGTAAAGAAACACTTTCTGGCATCTGAACTGACATTTCCCATCACAGCCTGTGCCTGTGCCTCTTGTCCTGCTGCCTTTGCAGTCTGAAAGTATTCAGGGTTTCCATCTCTGTGCCAGTTACTGACCAGTACCTGTGAGGTTCAAGTCAAGGCTGAAGAGCCCCATTCTTTGTACTCTGGATAAAAGGGGATCTTCCGCTCTCTTTAGAGAGCGAGAGGGCAGCGAAGGTAGTTATCAAATACGGCTTTATTCTAATGACAGACGAGGGCCTTTTTTCAGATCACTCTGCGTGTTTATTGTATTGTCTGGTTGATTCCAATTCAAACAAAGCCAGTCTTGATCTGATAGGAGAGAACTTTATCCCAAGATGTTCAAGTTTCTAATGCGCAGCTTAAATTTCCAATCCCGTCTTTTAGAGGCTTTCTCGGATGACACGTAAATCATTCATAAATTTGGCCAGAAACCATTGTCTCTCGTTGGGAGTCTGTCACTCGCTTTGCTGTGCGCTGGATGCCCACCTGCTGCGATGTCCCTGAGGATGCCTTTGGACGTTGATCTGGCTATTTACACTCTGACCAAAATTCCCGAGAGTGGACTGGCTCACAGGACCATCAGCGTCAGCAGCAGCAACTTAAACGGCGGCTTCCAGCCTTACGATCCCAGGTCAATTCTGGACGTGAACAGCTCGATGGGTTCACAGTCTAACAAGGTCCAGGTTCAGGGTCTGAGAGCGCTGGTCCGACCAGCCAGTGCATTCAGCCCAGGAGGAATGGTCACCCGTTTCGGACAAATACAGGGTGAGCTTGTGCGTAAAAGGAAGGTGAGTTCTATTTGTTAAATGTATGTGCTATTTATGTAACATCTTTGGAGGGTAGAAAATACACAGCTTTCACTGCTCCGAGACTTGCATAGAATCATTGAATTATACAGCACAGAAGGAGGCCATTCGGCCCATGGTGTCTGTGCCGGCTCTTTGAAAAGAGCTGTCCAAATCAATCCCACTCCCCCACGCTCTCCCCACAGCCGCTGCAAACTTGTCCTCCCCAAATATCTATCCACTTCTCTCTTAAAAGTTGCAATCGAATCGGCTTCCACCAGCCTTTCAAGGCAATGTGTTCCAGATCCTAACAACTCGCTGTGTGAAAATTATTTCTCCTCACCTCCCCTCTGTTTCTCTTAACAACTATTTTAAATCAGTGTCCTTGGGTTACCGACCCACCCACCAGCGGAAATAGTTTCCCCTTGTTCACCCTATCGAACCCCCTCATAATTTTGAAAACTTCTATTAAGTCTCCTCTTAACCTTCTCTGCTCCAAGGAAACAATCCCAGCTTCTCTTGCCTCTCCTGGTAACTGAAGTCCCTCATTCCTGGTACCATCCTGGGAAATCTCCTTTGCACCCTCTCTAATGCTTTGACATCTTTCCGAAAGTGTGAGGCCCAGACCTGAACACAGATCTCTCGCTGAGACCTAACTAGTGTTTTATAAAGGCGCATCATAACTTCCTGACTTTTGTATTCTATGCCCCTGTTTATAAAGCATGCTTTTTTAACAACTTTATGTACCTGTCCTGCCACCTTCAAAGATTTATTTACATGAGCCCCAAGTCTCTCCTCATTCTTCCTCCCAATGCATCACTTTGCAGTTCTTCACAATAAACTTCATCTGCCATGTGTCTGCCCATTTTACCAATCTGTCTATGTCAGTTTGCAGTCTGCTACTATCCTCCCCACTGCTTACTGCTTTTCCAAGCTTAGTATCATCTGAAAACTTGGAAATTGTACACCCTTTGCTCAAGTCCAGGTCATTTATTTAGATCAAAAACAGCAGTGGTCCCAATACTGATCCCTGGGGGGACACTATTGAACACTTCCCTCCAGTCACAGAAACAACCGTTCACCACCACTCTCTGCTTTCTGTCTCCCAGCCAGTTCTGTATCCATGCTGCCACTGTCCCTTTAATACTGTGGGCCTTCTATTTTAAGTCTGTTATGTGGCACTTTATCAAATGCCTTTTGAAAATCCATATAAACTACATCAACTGCACTACCGTCATCCACCCTCTCCGTTACTTCATCAAAAAACTCTATCAGGTTTGTTAGACATGATTTGCTTTTAACAAATCCGGGTTGGTTGTCCTTTATTAACCCATATTTTTCTAAGTGAACATTTATTTAGTCCCGGATTATAGTCTCTAGAAGTTTTCCCACAACCAACATTAGGCTGACTGGCCTGCAGTTCCTGGGTTTATCCTTCTGCCCCTTTTTGTAAAGGGGAGTAACATTTGCAATCCTCAAGTTCTCTGGCACCACTCTGGTGTCCAAGGATTGACAGATTGTGGCCAGAGCCTTCGTTATTTCCATCCTTATTTCTCTCAGTGACCTAGGATGCATCCCGTCCGGACTGGGTGTCCGGACCGGGTGAGTTATCTACCTTGAGCACTGACAACCTTTTTAGTACCTCTTCTCAGTTTACTTTTATCTTATCCAATTTCTCTACCCTCTCCTCCGATACTGTGGCATTGACTGCATCCTCTTCTTTTGTGAAGACAAATGCCAAGTACTCATTCAGTACGTCAGCCATGCCCTCTGCCTCCACAAGAAGATTTCCTCTTTGTCCCTAATTGGACCCAATATACCCTACCTTTGACTAACCTTTTATTCTTCATATTGTTATAAATACCTTAGGGTTCTCTTTTATGTTAACCACTAATCTTTTCTCATACAATCTCTTTGCCCCTCTTTCTTTTTCAGTTCTCCTCTGTACTTTCTATATTCTATTTGATTATCTTCTGTATTTTGGACCTGACATTTATCATGAGCCTCCTTTTTCTGTTTTATTTGATCCCAATTTCCTTATTTATCCAGGGAGGTTTGGATGCCCTACCTTTCCCCTTTGTGGGAATATATTTGTTCTGTCCCCGAACTACCTGCTCCTTGAAGGCTTCCCATTGCTCGTTAGCTGTTTTACCTGACAATCTTTCTTTCCAGTCCACCTTGGCTAAGTACCTTCAGTACCTTTCATTGAAATTATCCCTCTTCCAGTTGTATATCTTCACCTTTGAATGTCCCCTGTTCCTTTCCATAAGTACCCTAAACCTAATGATGTTGTGATCACTGTTGTCCAGATGCTCTCCTACTGAAACCTGCTCCACTTGCCCCACTTCATTCCCCAGAGCTAGATCCAGCACTGCTTCCTTCCTCGTTGGCCTGGAAACATACTGATCCAGAAAGTTATCCTGCACACATTTCAGGAATCCTTCCCCCTCCTTGCCCTTTACACTGTTATTTTACCAGTCTATGTTAGGATAATTGAAGTCCCCCATTATCACTACTCTATTGGTTTTGCACCTTTCTGAAATCTGCTTGCAGATTTGCTCGTCTATCTCCTTCCCACTATTTGATGGTCTATGGTATATACCTAACGCTCCTATCTTACAGGAAACTTTGTTGCATTTTATGGCTGACATGAGATTGCTCCACTCGTTATCCATCAGGCGAGAGTTATTAACACATGAACTGGTGCGGGTGATAGTTTTACATTTAAATCACTTGAAAGCCCAGGGACATGGGAGATCTCCCTGAAATATCGCTCTTGATGTAAATCCTCAGGAATGCGAGGAACTGAAACAGAGAAACAAGTGGCTGGCAAATGAATTGCACCTGGAGAAGATTGTTCTCCGATCCGAAAATGAACGAACAATGAGGACTCTGAGGAGCTTGAATCTGGAAAAGCAAAGCACTGTTAAAGAGGTAATGAAGTTACCTTTTCTACATTGCAAACATTGTCATGTAAAAGATTCCTTTGGATGAGCGTCAAACTGAGGTCCTGTCTGCCAGTTCAGATGGACGTTAAGTATCCCATAAGTACTATTCAAAACAGAAGGGAGTTTCTTTCTCCCGTTGTCCTGACCAACAAAGTCCCCAACTAAAATTGGTCACTCACTCTTCGGCTGTTTGTGGAACACTGTTGTGCGCAACTGGCTACCTCCTAGTTCACAAGATACATTCACTCCACTTTACAGTAAATCCTGTGAAGCCCTTTGAGACGTCTCGACGATGTGATAGGGCACTATATCAAATGCAAGGATTATTAGTATTATAAACAGAATTTTGCAGCACAGGAGATAGTG